ATCGACCCTGAATGTTGAAGTAACTTTTTTCTAAAATGTCTTCTGCCTTGCTCGCTCGCTCCTCTTCACAAGTTTATTTCAATCACCTTTTCCCTGGCCGTGCATTCAGTCACCTTTTTCTAACTGTGTCCCAAAGTTGATTGATTATTAGTCTTTAGAAATAAAATGTGAAATAAATCTGGACTCTTCTGTTTTCTTTATTCCTTGATAAGTTTAAACATTTAATGTAAACAATTAAAATAAATTCCATTTCTGCTGAATGCCATTTGTTACTCTGACAAGTGTGGTTGTGATTTCTTTTATCTGCAAGATCAATGCAGCTTTGTCACATTAGTCTTCATTTATGCAAATTATTTAAGGAGACTTTCAACTTCTGCATGCCCTAGAATGTTTCGGTAGTAATAGATTTCTGGATAAAGTTATACATATTGCTGGAAGCTACACGAGTTGATTATGTCTTACTTGTTATGCACATCTGCTTTAAAAGGGAAAAGTAGCCCTAATTGTTAATTTCGTCAAAATCGTTAACTTTGAAGTCACCGAGGAGATGACCCTGCAAACCAACCTGAGTTTATTTTATTCTGTTAGTAAAAATTACTGATGTAAGTTAGGTGAAAGTGATTATTATAGGTCTTTTGTGCTAAACTTGAACTTTTTTTCATTTTACAGTGAGCTCCCATGTAGAGCTTATCATAATGCAAGCTTTGTGCTGGGCACATGATGACTTAAACAAGGTTGACATTGGCAACTACATACTGAAAGTCTGTGGACAAGAGGAAGTATTACAGAAGTAAGAGACACAAGCACATTAATGTTTCTCTAAATTATGATGTGAAATTTCAGTATTACAATAACTTTACTGAAATTATTCTTTCTAATGTAAAGTTGAAGTTGCTTAATTGGACTTGCATATTTTTTTAAAATGCCCAGTTCTGCAATTCTTTTTTTGAATGGGTGCAGCATTTTGTCTCTGTGTAGTCTACTTAGTTAGTTGTGGTCTCTGTTATATATCGTTGTCTAATTTTACGAGCATCTGTTTTGAACCGATCAAACTTCGAGGCCAATTTCAAATGGAATCCAATTTCTGTACTCCTTTTGGACTGCTTTCCTTTGATCCTGTATACTTAGAATATTTTCTGTTTTTGACACAAGGTGTACTGAAGGGTTGGGCAGGGGTCTTTTGAATGCTCTATCTACACACTTTTAACAACTATCTGTGGTAACTGACCATTAGCTGTAATATTTCAATATTTTACATGGGTGTGTAAATTAGCTTCAGCAACTTGCGTCAGCATTTGGCCTCTTTCATTTTAATTATGGAAATAGCAGGGGACTGGGTGGTTAGTACTCGGATTGAGTGCTGAAAAATATTGTCTGAACCTTAAACTGAGAATATTCATTGATTAGGAGCCAGATTCCACATGTGGTGATACAACTAATTTTGTTTTTTTTCCTCTATTAAACCATTGGCTTGAAAGCTTTGCACAAAAAGACTGCCGTCTTCTAGATCATTCCTTAAATTTTTCACAGATAGAGACATTAAAAACTTCTTCTAATGTTAGCCTAATGTTCCTCGAATCATTCCAAGTAAGTGAATTTTTTTTTAAGACAACTGAGATAACATGAGGCTAACACTGAAGACTGGGGTTCTGATTGGAAAAAAACGCCCTAGGCTTTTCAGCCATATGTTCATGACCTACTTCTGGCTGTGTGAATTTTTCCATTTTAAAAGAAAGATCCATCCAAAGCGATACTACTTGCAATGGACTGCAGTGGACTCTAAAATGGAAAATTGTAAGGAGCAGATTAGAATTTGCTTGGTTTTACTGCTGAAATAGTGAAAACGTAGTAACTTTCAGGCCAGAACACTATCTGTTTAACTTATAAACACTGAATCAACAGAGCATTTTTGATATGAACTTGCAGACATTGTTGGTCCAGCTTGCACTTTAGTGTTAAAATGTTGTCTTGCCCAAGTTCATGCCTGTTTTTCTCAGAACTGGTGTTTGAATTTCTTCAGATATAACAGTGTGGAGCTGGAGGAGCACAGCAGGCCAGGCAGCATCAGAGGAGCACGAAACGTCAACCTTCCTGCTCCTCTGATGCTGCCTGGCCTGCAGTGCTCCTCCAGCTCCACACTGTTATGTCTGACTCCAGCATCGGCAGGTCATGCTGTCTTTGAATTTCTTAGTCAGGTTTCTATCTCTGCCACGTTGCCATGGCACAGTCATATGTGACTTTGAGATGCAAACAATGTGACCGTGATAAAGTAAATAATCATCCTCCTGTTCTCCCCACTCTGTCTTTGACAGGGTATGTAACACCATCTTCCATCAGTAGTTCTTCCATCCAACTGAGTGACTCACTTGCCTGGTTTTCATTGTTTTATTATTGACCTATCTTTCCAATCAGCCATTTCAGAGATGTTATTACACACCTCTGGACTTGGATCTGGGTCTCTCAGTTCAGGGGTAGGGATAGTACCACTGTGCTATAAGAGGACCCTTTGCCTGGTTTTCATTCTTCTGATCAGTTAACAGTCTTCACCTGTTTACCCTCAACTATGTAATTGACTTAACATTAATGCCCCAGATTTGTTTACTGTTCCTTTTCCTCTTGTGAATATATATTTTACTGTACAGTACTTGAACTATCTCTTGTTTAAACGTAGATGGAGTTAGTTTTGCCCGCTAACCCTTAATTCTCATTTATCTTGGGCCAAATCCATTCTTAGTCCATTGCAAGCAGCTTTCCCCCGTTAGCTTTTCTTCCTCTAGATTGCTCCTTACCATTTTCCATAGCCAACCTTATGACTCAATGATTGCTGTCCCTTAAATAGTCTCCTCATGACACTAGATTATACTTGGCCATTACCAAGACCCAGGGCCAGCAATGGCTCCTTTTTCTTTGGACTGGAAATTCTCCTGAACTCAAGTCTTGCCTTTCTGTCTGATCATTACAGTATTACCATCCCAGTCCATGTCCAGATGATTAAAATCTGCCATTATAACTATTCCTGTAGATTCTTGATTTTCTCTTCAATTTCCTTGCAAGTATCCTCCTTTACATCTTTCCCACTCGTTGGTGGCCTTTAGCTAAATAATATAAATGCATTTTTTTTTGTTCTACAGCTCTAACCCGATTATATATTCTGTCTTGACTCCTTCGGTCTTGCATTGCCTGCCTTTCTATTTTCCTCTAGACTGGTCATCGAATTCCACTGTCCTTGCATACTCAAGATGCAGATTCATCTTCCCTAATATTTCCTTATGTAACTTGCTGTCTTTTTTTTATTTTATGGGGCCCCTGTGAAGCCCCTCGGGACTTCCTTTTATTATATTTAAAGGAGTTTTATAAAACCAGTAATTATTTTGAAGGTTGTGTATGTGCAACTATTCCTGCAGTATTATCTTCAGGGTGTAGTTAAAGACTTTTTGTAAAATGTGAAACGTAATTTTAAATGTGTGACATTTTTTCACATATATTACAGTAAACATTGCTTAGGAAGTCACGAATACATTCAGAATTGTCGCAAGTGTGATGCTGAGATCAAGCTACAATTATTAAACCGCAGTACAATGTCCAGAGCTATGTCCCGCATGGTGAGCCCAGTTTATCAGTTCACATTTTACTTCTTTGAAACACGCATTATATTACTGAACTCAAATGACCTGAATTTTTTTTTAAAATGTATTACAAATGGCCCTGGTACAAAAATGCTTGAATTTAATGAAATGGCAGTTTCAGTTCTGTTTCTAGTGGTCAATGGATTTTTGGCACTGGAAAGAAAACATACTTTAGCCTTACTAATGACCAATGCATTTCCATTTAACAACCAATGTCATGTACTCAATTTGGAGCTGAGGGATATCTTTAGGGAGAATCACTGTAGTTTCATATGGATGCACTATATCTAAAATGCATATTTTCTGCTATTAACTTTGGGTCAAAGTTTTTTTTTCTCATTCTGTACTTCACTTCAACACATTAGACCGAAAAGGTGAGGGCAAGCTAATAGCCTTTCTTTGAGGAATAAATTTTCCACAACGTTGCAAAGATTTGTTTCTTAGAATTTCAAATTAAGCCTGCACTAGTTTCCACAAATGCCATTAATTTGTGCAAAACACTTTTTTGGCCCATCCTGTTTTAAGTTTTGCAATCAAAGTACCTGTGACCTTGTGCGAATTCCACAGCAGCAAGAAACTCAAGGCAACTTGCTCTTTTTAACTTTGTAGTTTCAGTGTAACATTTATCACTTGCAGTACGCAATTCAGTCACCCCTTCGTATGCTGCTTAGTGTTTTTGTTCACGTTTTTTCACAATTGGTGCTGGCAGGACTGGGGCATGAAAATTTATCTCCTTAAAATCCAATTTTTACCTGTTTTGGGTTTTGGAGTCATTCCATTCCTTATTTCATGGCTGTTTTATTTCAGCAAGAACAGTATCCAAAGTAAATATTTGCTACTTATTTTTTTGATATGGATTACAACAGTAATTGAATTTAAATGTAAATACACAGTTTAAGTCTAACTGCAAAATTTGTCATGAACATTGCATGGAGAATATTCTGTAAATTGTCTTCATTTTTGTGGATGGAGTATAGCTAATAATTAGCAGTTTTGCTGGAAAATGATTAATGTGTTCGCACAAACAGGCAGAAGATGATGAAACACCTACAGATCTTGAGAAGTATCTTTGCCAGGTTGAAAAGCCTTTCAAAGAGGTTATTACAAGGTAAAGTATTAATTCAGTAATTAAACATCATCCACTATTTCTTTGATTGGGCTGCTCCTAATTTGTTTTCCTTTTGCCTAGGCAATCTCTTGATGAGCTTCTGGAAGTATATCATACTCGTACAAAAGCGTGTCTTCAGAGAGAAGTAAGTATTAATTTAGTATGAAGAAGGCTTTTTATCTGGAATTTTCAATTATCAAAATATGAGCGATGATGCAGATAAACTCCTAAAACAAGCTTAGGATATCCGATCTACCCAAATCTAAATTTAATTGAGGAACTAGGAAACAGTGTGATGTACTTTCTGTATATCAGATTTGAACTGTTTGCATACCTAGAACAGTGTTCTCATCACTGGCTTTGCATGAATGACCCCTGGTCTTGGACATCGGTGAAAAATGTTTATATCAATAGCCATGGAAGAGAAGGTCAGGAAGGAGTTTGGAATTAAGTTTAAATAATTGGTGTGGAACACAACGAGAGTAGTCATGGATCTTCTGTCTCCACCGTGAAGGAGTAAAGAACCATTCCTGAGATGTGCTTGATAATGCTTCAGCCTGGGCTTAATAAATGTCAAGTAAACTTTGTGCTGCCTGACTATCAATTAATCGCCATCCCCAACAAGTGATCTATTCACCTTCCCCTGATGTTCAATGGCATTTCCATCACCGAATTGTCCCAACATCATCTTTCAGAATTACAATTGACCAGAAACTAAAGTGAACCAGCAATATAAAGACTGTGTAGCTACAAAAGAATGCTAGAGGCTGGGAATCTCTGCAGTAGATTGCTACCTGAATCTCCAAGTCTGACTATCATCTAAAAGGTATCAGTCACAAATGTAGTAAAATACTCTCCAGTTGGTTCTATGGGTGCAGCTCCACCAACAGTTTAGAAGAAAAAGCTCAACACCATCCAGGACAAAGGAGTCCACCTCATGAATTCCCCCTTTCAACTCCTAACTTAAACATTCACTCTTTTTTTTTTTCCCCCTACAGTACGCTCCAAACCTACAATCTCTGCCACCTATAATAGCATGGCAGAGGAACAGGAAGAAAACCATGTGCAAGATTTTTTTGCAGCATCCTGGTTTACAGCTATTGGCCATTTTTAAGTCCTAGTTCTAGAACTCCAACCCAATTGCATCAGTGTATGTACAACGTATGGATTGGTTTTTCAAGACAGCATTTCAAAAAACACATTCTCAAGTGTAATTGGGTTTGTGCAATAAATATTGGACTTGCTAATGATGTTCACGTCAGCTTGTTACTTGAATGGCATATTGATGATATTGTAGAGGTTTCCAGTCAAGTTGTGCACGTTGGTGATCTTCAGCTTAGTAATGAAGGATTTGAGCATAATGAAACAAAGCACTATGGATATTGAACGTCTCAGAATATCTTGGAGAAACTCAGCAAGTCTGACTGCACCTGTGGAACTCCATCTGTGAATGGGCTGTAAAGAAGGGTCGCTGGACTCAACGTTGAATCTACTTTTGCTCCACGGATGCATTCAGACCAGCTGAGTTCCTCTAAGGATGCAGTAGAGTTGTGCTTAAGTTTTTATTTCAAATAATATGAGGATTTTCCAACTTCCTCCTTGCTTGTAAAGTCACTGGCAAGAATTTATTTCCAGTTGCTTTTGTCTATATCCATTATAATGATCCAAAAGTGAGACTCTGGAAGCAAAGGTGTGTCAGCCGTGACACACTTGCCTTTGAGTGATCAGGTACTGGGTTCAAGTTGCACTCTCGGTTAACCACAAAAATTGAGCTGACGCTCCAGTGTAGTACAGAAGGAAAATTCCCTTGTTAAAGGGATGAGATGTTAGACTGAAGCCAAATCTGCTTGCTCATTTTGAATGTAGCAGACCCCAAGGCTCTATTTTAAAGAAGACAGTGGAATAATCCCTGATGTCCTGACCAATCTGTGTACCTCAAGCAAAATCTGAAACCAAAAGATTATTTGGTCATTATCACTCTGCTGTTTGTGGAAGTTTGCTAAGTGCAATTCAGGCATTTCCTAAACTTAAAGCAGTGAATATACACCAAAAATAATTAATTGACTGCAAAGTATATTGAGATACTCTGGCTGTGATAAGTGCCTCATAATGCAAATCTTTTTCATCTTTATTTCTTGGATATTGTTTTGAAAAATTGTTTCAAGAAAAATTGACTTTGGGGAGTGCAGCAGATGAGTTCAGCAGCATGCTTAATGCCATGTTGGTCTTTATCAACAAGGAATATCTCCGTGCAGCTAATTTCGTGTGCCATTTCTCTGCAGAAAGTAGACGACATCTTAATTGTAACATTTTGTATGAAATTTAGAATTTGAATATTGTCTTGAATTCAAGTATATTACACACTTGTTATGTGTGGTTAGCTTCATCCAGATATGAACAATGTTTCTGTCCTGTTTAATTTTAACTAGGGAAAACAATACAAAATGGTGGAACAGATTATCCAATCTGTAAAGGATATTTGCAGTGCACTGGACGGTGCAGAGACCAAGGCTGTCACTGATGCTGTAAAGAAATTAAAACGTGCTGTTAATCTACCAAAAAGTAAAACTGTTGAGGTAAGCTTGTGGGTTTCTGTGTCAATTTCTGATCACTTGATGAAAAACTGATAACTATATTCTCCTACAATAAGTTTGTTCTTTTGGCGGATTCAGTATTTTCCTATTGGATGAAATGTTTCAAACTCATGGTTCGGATGATCTATCTCCATTGGCTTGATTTTTGTTTTCTTTTTCTTAAGTGTAAAGTAATCTTTCTGCAGGGTGCACAGATTCAGTTGAGTACGGCGATTGAACAGTGTAGCTTGCATTTCATGTACATATCTGTTTTATAAGGTGATGATTCTGAAAATGTCAATGTTGAGGCTGCACTAAACTCCAACCTATCCAAGTGGAGAATTGGGCGATGGAGTATGAGATCCTGATGGGGATGGACATGTCCTCTTTGGTTTCTGATGGGCATAACTATATAAAGTAGCAATTCAATGTAACTTGTAGCTATTAACCAGTAAACTACGTCTTGTCTAAGACAAGTGTCTCAGTTCATTTAGACTTAATAATGGTTTATCTCCCCGCTTCAGTAACTAATGGTCCAAAGGATAAAGAAACTTGGCTGAACTTAGAACAGCTTTAATTATCGTATTAGCATAATGCTTCATCGTATCAAGTAAGGTAGAAAATGTTCTATAGTCAGGAGACCATACTGGTTTTGCTCCCCCAAAAAAGAATCAGCATTTAATTTTGTTCATGCTGAGATTCCAAATGATTGTCCATAATTATTCTTTAATTGCTGAACTTTTGTTCAATACAACTTCAACAAAGCCTATTTTTCAGTGACTGCTGCTGTGTCACTCAGGGTGGACTATTATATTTTAATCTTGATCTTTTTCCAGCCATGGAATATAATTTTTGGCTAGTGATCCCTTTCTTGGTAGTCACGTGATGCACATTACTGGTTGACCTTAAAAATCAATCTCTGTCCTTTTCGTGTGGAGCAATTCCACTCCAGTGTTAATCTTGAACAATCAGTAAATGAGGCCTTAAAATTTCAGTGCCATGATACATAGAAAAGTGCTTAAAATGGTGTTGCTGGACTAGCATCAACTGAGCAGCAATATTTGATGATATCTGAAGATTGTGGCATTTTGAAGCAGTCAGGATTGCGATTGGATTTGCAGTTTGAGCAAAGTTGAGATTTTTCAGCAGCTTTGAAAGTATCCCAACGATATTATTAGTACAAACACTTCCCTGAGCAGGAAAGTGTTTTCAGTCTAAGTAAAATACAGATATTGCAATGAAACAATCCAGTCGCAATGAATATATTTTAGAACTTGGCTTGCCCAACATATGGTCTGGGGGAGGCCAGAATTCAGCTTGTCAAGCCTCTCCATGGCATGCAAACGTTGTGTTTCAAATATAGGTAAAGTCACACACTAGGCCATTTCTGCTCCTTTTGTTTACTGCTGAGGGACTCCTCAGTGAGTTTGTGATTGGTTGAGTAGCAGGCATTTTAAAGTGAGTTACTTTTTTGTTTGTTTGCTTTCATGGCTAAGATTTGTTCTCTCTCTCTACTTATGGCCATGGGCTCTGTTGTTCTACTAAGCAGCAGGCCTGCTGAAAGGTTACTGAGGTCAAATTTGTGGAAGGGATCACAGAGGCCAGAAGGAACCAGAATTAGGGCAACAGCACTTGCCTAGTCGGGACAAGGTGGAAGTGAGGCAGTTTGTCTTGATCCCTTTAGCCATTCAAATTCTTCCCCCACAGTAAATTATGAAGGGTGTGAATGTGGAACTGAGATGACCTGGTTTTGTGCTCCTTCCCCCTCCCTGCAAAAGCAGGCCAGGAAAAAAAGGAAAGGTCAAACTGAAGGGCAACTGCTTCTGACCCCCACTTTCTTATAGGCATTCTGACAAGGCAAGCTCAGTGTGTGCACCACCAGAGACGAATGCAAGATTGGTGTTTGTTAGTTAAAGCCAACTCTTTCGTTCAGCCTCATTCCCCATCTCCTTGCCTGGTGATCAGGGTATGAGACCTAGTTTGTCTCTCCAACTCCACTTCTTAAGCAATGAGGCAAGAATAAAAATGATTGGTAACCCTAGTTTACAAAATGATGGAAGACATCTATTAATCTACCATTCTCATTTATTACTCCACATAAGACATCCCCTCAGCCTCTAGCTGGAGAAGGCAAAGATTTATGCTGCAAGGAAGCCAATCAAGCTTCACGTAAATCCTGTTCAGCCTTGAAAACAGTCATTTCTAATTTAATTAGTAACAAGAAGTTGTGAATCTCTCTTCCATTTAACTTTGTCAATCACATTATTTTCTGAAGCTGGTCTTTTTTTTAAAGTTTGACAATCTAAAGTGATGTCCCTTCATCAAAAGATGAGTAATTTGGACAATTTATACACTTGTATACTATTTATGCTTGAAAATAAAATTTTTTAACCCAACAAATCATTATCCAAACTGATAGCTTAACGTAAAATTGGACAGAGCACTATCAAGAGTTGGAGTAGGTTACCAGAGGTGACAATTGAAACAGATGTTATAATCGGCTTGAAAAAAGGGGTTTATTTCTGGAAGTTAAGATTGAGTGAGTGACATAGCTTTTATGGATATTTCGAAACATTGCTTCTTGTATAATCTTGAGCTATATTTTTATTCCTTGCACAATCACCAGCACAACAACAGGAGCTTATACTACTTTAACACCACTCAACCTCTAACGATTTGCATTGCTTCCTACTCAGTTCTGTTTGGTGCTGACTTCTGACCTGCATCCTCTCTAAACTTTTTCCTTATTATCTGCCGCAAACTAAATCCTGCACTGCTCACTATCTTTGTCCTTGCAGCATGATCTGGCTTCCAGTCCCCAACGCCATGGAATTTAAAATTCGTCCTTGAGTTTTACAATCTATCATATCCTTGCTGTGCCTTATCAGTTATCCCCTCCATCACTATATCCTCATTTGTCTCATTACTGTACACACTTTTTTTGCCTCCTCAACCTTCCATCAGTTATGCTGCGTTTCTCACCAACTGTTTTAATTATGTTAAATTTTCCACACAACTGGTTTTGTTTTGGACATAGTCTCACGACTCAGCAAAAATGATCACTGTCATGTTTTGTCCCCCTTGAGATTCCCCTTGATCTTGCTAGACAAATTTATTCAATGTTCAAAGGCAGATGATTGCTGTTCTTTTTAATGAAGCAAACTGTAGTTCTGCTGACAAGTGCTGCACTTTTAATTCCAAATGATAAGTGGTTATGAATAAAATTACCGAAGTGTTACCTGCCCTTTTTCCTGGAATTGTTTTCTTTTAGCTTCCACCGTTCATGCTTTGTGGAGCTGGTGCCCCTTTTTTCTTTGAACTTGATATTGGCTTCTAGCTTCACTGTGTTCAGAACATGTTTCATGGGAAAAAATCTATATTAATCTAGCTCTTTGCAGATATTAGATATAAGCTTTATGCCTATTAACAATTTGCTGCAATTACCAAGTCTCCTGGGGACAATTGGACAGTGTTTAAAATCCTTCTGAATGCATTAGACGTCAGCAAGAGATATCACAAGTAAAGTGAAATGGTTGTCATTTCAAAAAAAATCAAACTTTAAATGCACTATCTGCAAAGCATTTGAAACATGGTTTCCATATATCGATTTCTGCTATTCACCTGGGTTTTTGCTGCTTGGGGGAATTCAGTTTTGCAAATCTTCACCTACTGTTAAGCATTACAAACTTCAGTTGTCTTTTAGTCTAATGAGTAAAAGCATGGTAACAATGAGTCATAAAGAGCTGAAGGCCTTAGGTTTCCTATTATTCTGACCTAATAGTTTTTCTCTTTCACTCATGGCTGAGCCTTCAGTCCTAAAGGCTATCTCCCAAAGCTACCAAATTTTCTGCTGCCTTCCCTGATCGCTCATTGCCATCTTAAAACTCCTACCTTCAGCCATTTCCCTGATTTCCTACTATCTTTTTCAGTTCAATCCTGAATTGTGGAGTCTATCTCCTTTTTAAAAGGAGTTGTATAAATGCAAGTTGTACCAAATTGAGTTCTTACTGTCAGATATTTTTAGGTTGAATGGAATGCCATTTTTAATGACTAAACTAAGTTTTCTTGTTTGAAATGGGGAAAATCATTGTGCCATAACATGTATTACGCTTTGTTTCTGCATGTGATTTCACATCTTGACAAAAAGATCTATTTCATCCTAAATTTTGAAGCCAATTCTAATTTGTTCTTGTATTCACAGGTCAAATCAAAAGATAACATTGATTCATCTGATGGTGCAAAGAATGGTATGTTATCAAGCAAAAAATGTTTATTTATCTATGAATTGATTGTAAACATTTCAAAATTGTGAACTGATTTGAATGTCACAGCTGCTGAGTTGCTGAAGAGACAGGCATAATTGGTTTTTGTCTTGATCCTCCCCATTCCAAAAAAAAACTCTGTATTGGCTTAGTTTTAACTCTTCTGAACCATTTCAATATAATGACAAAGACAATATTTCAAAGCTTTTATTAATCACTGGGTCTTAGCTGGAGTATTGTGGCCACACTTACTTCTGGCACCACGCTTTAGAAAGCGGCTTGGATCCTTCACCGACATTGGAGAGAACCAAAAGAGATTTACCACAATTACACCAGGCATGAGGAACTACAGAGATGCTGAGTTGGGCTGTCCTTCTTAATGAAGAAAAGATTAAGCAGCAAATGGAATTTAATTGAGTGTCAGGTGATACACTTCCTTAGCAAGGCAATACATTGGATCAGAGGGCCCTTGGTGCTTTTGCCCACTAGTCCCTTCTGGCAGCAGGGCAGGTAGATAGTGGTTAAAAAGGCATCTGGGATACTTGCCTTCATAAGCCAAGGCGTAGATTATAAGAGCAGGGATCCGATGCTGGAACTGCCTGACATGTTAGTTAGTCTATGGTGAGAATGTTGTGTGCAGTTCCGGAATCCATTTTGTAGGAGGGATTTGATTGTGCTGGAGAGGAACCAGAGGAGCTTTATCAGAATGTTGCCTGGACTGGAGAGTTTTAGTTAAGAAAGATTTGAATAGAAGAGTTTTTTTTTCCCCTTAGAGTAGTGGACATGAAGGGGATGTAATGATTTAAGATGTTTAAAATTGAGAGGTGTAGACAGGGGAAAAAAAAACTGCTCCCTTGGTGGCGAGGTCTGTGGCCAGAGAAATACATTTAAGGCAAGAGGCAGGAGGTTTAGAGGGGATGTGAGGAAAAACCTTTTTTACACCCAGAATGTGATGTGAATCTGCAACTCACTGCGTCTAAATGTAGCCTCATGACATTTTAAGTGGTATTCAGTTGTATATCTTGGCATCACAAATGTACAAGGCTATGGGCCAAGTGCCGAAAGATGGGATTAGAATAGTTAGGTGGTGGTTTGCATCTGTCATAGACTGTATGGGCTGAAGGGCCTTTATCTGTGCTGTAGATCTGACTCTGACATTTAAAGATAGTATTCCAGATGAAGGTATTTTGATCAACTAGATGGCTGACAGTGAATAGCATTTGTAACCAGAAGAGAAATTGAAGACGATAGCCCAGCAGTGAGATGAGAATCTGTTTACAGTGAAGCAAATCCAATAACAATGTTTAAGAGTTGAATATATGTACGTTGGAAAAGGAAACCCATGGGAGGGGGAGAACAGGGGCATTATGCTTAACTGTTTTAAAAAGCTAATACAAGTGTGATTGTCTTCTCTGGGGTATATGATTCTATGAATTTAGTGACTTATGAATATTCAGTTAGGGGGAAAAATGTTGTGCTGACACACAACATGAGAAGTTTAGTTTGCAAGGCAATGTTCATGTCTCTGTTCAGTTGTGTTGTTTTTATATGCAATTTCCTCAAAAGTGCAAACTGTACAAAACAAAAATCTTATGCATGATTATGTTCAACATGCAAAATTCTTGCACAAATTTAAAAAATATTGCTCCAGAAACCTGACCTGCTATTAAACATAAGAATTAATTTCCAGTTTCTAGCTAGCCAGATTATGACTAAAGCAGACTTTGAATCAACAATGCTTTGTATTTGCATGCATTAGAATAAGACCCCCTAGAACAAAAAGCATGATTATTTTCCTGTGTTAAATGAGCAAACCTGGTGTTGATATATTGCTTCAGTATTGGAGAATGCAAGTGGGATGAAATCTACCATATCATATACTTTTACAAGTTTGCATTTAAGTTTTCTTCACTGGTTTTAAACGCTGAGCTGAATGGCTTCTCTGAACATACTGAAATGGAGTATCTTAAGAGGGTCTTTTAAAAGCAATGACTATAACTTGTTTCCTTCCAATATAATTGGAACGTTGTCATTCTAAACGTGTCTATTTAAATAAGTTTGTGACTCAGGCTCTCTGAAGACCAAAAATTATGCTTTGTGAAGCCAGTGAATGCTGATTGCAGTTGTAACTCTCAGACTAAAGGCTCTTGGAGGAATTCCAACTTGCAGAGTAAATTGTATGTTTGCTAGTAAATATGGGTTCCTGACATGACATTCTGTAAGTTGCTTCATTGCAATTTATGAAATCATGAGTAGCTTTTAATTTCTATGTTTCTGTATATTGAAATCTATCTCGCTACATTTTCATCACATACCAGAGATAGTTGGATGTCTGTTTCATATTTAGATGTCTGTTTTTTTAATTATTGGTGAAGTGAGTTGTTTAGCAAGTAATTGAAACCAATGTTCAATATTGCACAGAATAATGTATGCCAGATTTTCCAGTTGTAATGACAGTGAAACTGTCAGTATTCACCACCATCAGAGCAGTGAAATTGACTGTTCCAGGAGCCAGCATGTGCGCAAAATAACACTGAAATCAAAATGCTTCAGTCTGCTATTATATAGACTGCCAGACTGCAATCAGTTGGAAATCACTGAAATGGCAAGTTTTTTCCACTCTTATGCCCTTTAGTCTTGCTGTGAAAACACTTGAGAAAGTTGCATCTTGTGAGCTGAGGCATTACTGTTTGTAAATGTGCTGACTTCATAATTAATGCCAATCACCCCTACTGGCCTTAATAGAGCTCATTTTATATTTGTGGAATATCAAAATTCTTCATTTATAATGATAAACTTAAATGAATATTAATTACTTTTACCATTACTGCTGTCATGTCTATATTGTCAGTCCATTTACGCTTTGGGACACTAACACATTTGCCAACAACAGTTATTAAATAGCAAGTCAAACTTAATTGATTCATGACTTTTATATCTTGTTATTTTTCTGTACTTTGGCTTGCTATAAATTTCCACCAATTCCCTATTTTGAGGGTGGAAAATAGTGTACTGAACTTGTAAATGGTGTTTGCTTGAATTTTATATAGTTGAAGTAGGATTAAAGTAAACAATGTCTATCTTTACAGTCCAGTTTTCATATTGATTTGATTTTCAGTTTTTAGATTGCGACATTGCGAATGTTACGTTATATTTATCCTTCAGCTCAACCCAAAATGTAGTGTTTTATGCTCTTTGCTTTGATCACAGAATGAATACTGGTGGAATTCGAAATCTTGAGTGCTTTATTTACAGTGTTGACAATAAACAGTCAAATCTGCATGCCTTTTACTATAGGTGTGCCTGTGTTGTGGTAGGATTTCCTTAGTCAGTTTTGATCCTGTTCTAACTGAAACAATAATTGGTGCGTACCTTTTTTAATATGCTTATCTACTTTTACCAGATTTACAATTTAACAACCAAGTGCCTTACACCCATTTGTATTTTGTGCAAGAAACAAAAAGCCCAAGTCCTTTTTTTTTTCTAAATAAATTGTTTACCCTCCAGAACAGAAGTGGACTACTTCTGATCAGTAAATCTTATATTTGTGTTCTTTCCCCCCTGGAAGTTGCCTTGTGAAGGTGAGTGGTATTGCTTTGGGGAATTGATCCTCCAATTTTATCATCTGTTGTAAACATCCAAAGGCTCATGGATCAGGCTAAGCATCAGTTAGATGCAGAATGAGGCTTCCTTTATTTTGATGGCCTATTTCCTTGATCATTCAGTGATGATACACATTCTCAATGAGATCACTGTGTCCTTAAAGTGAAGTGGACTTCGAGAATGGGGCTTTTGTGGGTTGAACTGTTCATAACTACTTCACCCATGAAATCCTGAATTGAGCTTACAACCCTGCATTTTCCATTGCAAAAACCTATGCCTCAATCTACTATTAAAACACACAATTGTTCTGTATCCTATCTAAAGCTGTCTTCATAGGTGTTCTATCTTCTAAACTTGTCTAAAAGTTCACCAACTAATGTAACATGGCAAATCTAACCCTTCAATCAGTGTGGGCTCATAGACAGCCCACCCCCACATTATGTTCTCTTAAATTGTCATCCTTATGATCTAATTCCTCCCCCCCTCTCCTATTACAACCCATCCTTGCCAAAACTCACAGTTGTTCTTGTGCATTTATCTCCCTTTGTGCTACCGTTAATGATTATACCTTTAAATTGTAGGGCATGTGTGACTCAAATTCCATCCATTACACCCTTCAGACTTTCCTCCTCCATGAAACTATTGTAATTTGCCTCTGATCAAGCTTTTTGTCAACCCTCTGAACCATCATTACCTTTTCTCCTTTGACACTTCAATATGTCAGAGATTTATGAAGAACCTCAGTACGTTTTATTAGTGATAAATACAAGTTGGTGGCAACTTGGGTGGTTTTTCTGCACATCAGGGGGAGAAAAACTGTTTCAAGTCCCTACTATCTGCTGCGGAAGTTTAATTCTGCTATCCTGACAGCAGTTTACATCCCATCCCAAATGGAAACGAACAGTACACTCTATCAAGTATATATGGCTACAAATAGCCTTGAGATGGAATACCCCAAGGTCTTGTTCATTGTAGCTGTTGACTTCAACCAGGCTAACCTCAAATGTGCTACTAGGATACCACCAACGTGGCTGTTGTCCCAGCAGAGACCTAAGCACCCTTGACCATTGCTACACAACCATCAAACACACCTTCAATCTATTCCCCGCCCACATTGTAGTAAATCAGACCATCAGGCTGTGCTCGTTCTCTCTGCTTAGAAGCAGAAACTGAAGCATGTGGATCCGGTACAGGATGCAGTACAATACTGGACTGAGGTAACAGATGAGCTCCTATCTGACTGCTTGGAGCCGGTAGACTGGTCCACATTAAAGAACTCAGCGGCCAAACTAAATGAATATGCTACGACCATCACAAAAGTCAGCAATACATGTGTAGAGGACTGCATGCCAAAGGAATTAATCCCAGTCTTTCCCAACCAGAAGCAATGGATGAACCAGAAGATCTGCTCCCTACTGAAGCTCAGGTCTGACATGTTTAAATCGGGTGACCCTGACCTGTACAGAAAATCTCGGTACAATTTTTGCGAAGACATCAGGGATGTTAAGACACAGTACCAGACTAAACTAGCCCCAGATGGACAGCACAGATATGTTAACTGTAGCAAGGCTTATACGATATAACAGGCTACAAAGCGAAGGCAAGTAGAATCGTCGACAACAATGCATCCCTTCCCAGTGAGCTGAATGCATTCTATGCTCATTTTGAACAGAAGGTCAGTTAAATGATGTCACTTGCCCTGACAGCCTCAGGTGCGCCTGTACCTGTGGTCACCGCTACAGGCATCAGATCGGCCACCTTGAGGGTGAACCCACAGCAAGTGACTGGTCTGGATGAAGTTCCTGGCTGTGCACTCCAATCCTGCGTGGGCCAGCTGGCTGGAGTATTTTTGAGATTGTTAGCCTTGCCTTACTGCAACGTGAGGTTCCCACCTGTTTCAAGAAGGTCATGACCATGCTGGTGCCAAAAAAAAAATCAGGCAACAAGTCTTAAAGACTACCGCCCAGTGGCTCTGACATCCGTCATTATGAAGTGCTTCAAGAGGTTAGTAATGACACGCATCAACTCCAGCATTCCATATTGCCTTGATCAACTAGAATTTGCCTACCATCAAAATAGGTCCGCAGCAGACGCCATCTCCCTGGCCCCTACACCCATCCTCGCACCATCTGGATAACAAGGGCACCTACATCATACTCTTTTTTTTTTTTTATTGATTTTAGCTCTGCTTCAACACCGTAATTCCAATAAAACTCATCTCCAAACTCCGGCACCTAGGATTCTGCAACTGGACCCTCTACTTTCTGATCACCAGACCACAGACAGCTTTAGTGGCATGGTCTAAAGATGACAATCTCTCGCTCGCTCGCTCCATGTCAGCAAAATTAAGGAGCTGGCCATTGCCTTTCAGAAGCAGAGTGTATGGCATACCCTTGTCTGTATCAATGATGCTGAGGTGGTCAAGAGCTTCAGGTTCTGAGAAGTAAAGATCACCAACTATCTAACCTGGTCCATTCACATCGACGCTACCGTCAAGAAAGCTCACCAACACCTCTACTTCCTTGGAAGGCTAAGGAAATTCAGCATGTCCACAATGACTCTTGCCAGTTTTTACAGATGCACCAGAGAAAGCATCCTATCCAGCTACATCACAGCATTGTATGGCATCTGCTCTGCCCAAGACTGCAAGAAATTAGAGTTGTGAACACCGCCCAGTCTATCGTGCAAACCAACCTTCCTTCTGTTAACTCCGTCTACATTCCTGCTGCCTTGTCAAAGCAGCCAACATAATCAAAGACCCCTCCCACCCTGGTTATACTCCTCCTTCCACCCTGTTCATCAGGCAGAAGGTACAAAAATGTGAAAACACGTACCAACTGATTTAAGAACAGCAGCTTCTTTCCCACTGTTTATCAGACTTTTGAATGGACCTATCACATATTAGGGTTGATCTTTCTCTGCACCTTCTGTGTAGCTGTAACACTGTATTCTGCATTGTGTTCTATTACTCTGATGTATTGTGTAAGGTATGATTTTGTCTGATTAGCAAAACAATACTTTTCACTATCTTGGTACATGTGACAATAATAAATCAAATAGAGTGTGATTTATAAAATTCAAGAAAATGAGCACTTTTATTTCGTACTTGAATGACAAAAAATAGATTTGCTGGAGTCCCAGAGGGCAGGCACCCTTCCTGTACGTCAAATGGACTTTCATACTTTGTGTTAACACTTATTTGAGCTATGCAGAGACTTATTTCTCGATCTAGCAAATGATGAACAATTCATTGCTGTGGGATAAAAGGATATCAAACTTTGTGGAAAATCCAAACTAGGGCAGGTTTTTCTTGACAAGTACTGAGCAACATTTGTTCTTATTGCAGGGTCTTCTCTTGCAGTAAGTCCTGTGAATGCAAGCATCCATGCCCTAACAGTTGCTCTCTACGATCTGCTACAACTGTACCTGAGTTCTTTTAGCAGAAACACAAATGCAACTGGGAGTCTGCCACAAAATACAAAATGTACAAAGGAAGCACGGACCACGACAGAACACCTGCAGTTCACACTATTTGCAGCTCATAGAATTCCAGGAGCATGGGTCAGCAGGTGCGTATTGAGGAAAATTCTGTGCTACATTGGTTTTTTCAGAAAGTATTCTGGTCTTGACATAAAGCTCATGGGTGAAATGCTTTTTTTGGGGGGAAAGAAAAGAGGTGAGTTGTAAATGGGTCACTGCTCTGTGTATTCTGGTTTAATATAGGAATCTTGACCTAGATTTTGAAATCTCTGCTGTATAATGCCTGCCAAAGAATCTATGACTTGAAAATCTGGAGCCAAAAAAAGTCAAGCGCTTTGGGTGTAATGTTGGAATTTAAAGTATTACCCATTTGTGCTCCGAAATAGATTTTACCTTCCCAGCTTCTGCTTAGCATCTTCTTTTAACTTGTGTAGGGGAACTGTAATGTTAAATGAGATGCATTTTATACTTAACTGGAAGGGCTATTTAGCTTCCATACTTTTTTAAAAATTAAGAGTTACACCATTTTAAAACAGGCTAGCTTTAATAATGCGTTATGTTCTAATACATGTTTTTACTTTAAACAGCCTTGCAGTATATTTTTTTTTTTACCTCCTTTAATTTTCCACCAAGCCCTACAGCCAGGATAGTGATTGTAATGTCGTGCATGTTTCAAGTCCACTTTCACCATACCAAAAACAAAACACTGGCAGTGCTGGAAAACTGAAATAAAAATAAAAAACACTGGCAAAACAGCAACAGATCTGGCAATACCTGTGACGAGCTGATCTTTCAGGCTGATGACTTCTTCATCAAACATTACCTCCAGTCTTTTCACCCTTTTTTTTTGTGGTTGGCAATAACCAGTCAAGTGTCATCCAGTTTCTTGTCCCAGATGTTGCAAGATGCTTTAGTCTTTAATTTGTGCTTCATCGCTTAACAGTGCTTGCTCTTTAAGTCAAAGATTCAGTGAAGTAGGATTTGAATATAAACCACTCATGGAACTGCATATTAATCTGCCATTGCTCAGACTAACCATGGCCATTTTCTTCAATTTAATACTTATTTTATCCCCCTATTGGGTTTCTAAACTACTTTAAAATGTAAATTTAAGTCTTGTTATCTTCTTGGTCATTTTGTAGTTCATATGTGGATGCTTAAGTTTCTTCCCCTCTCTTCCTCTTGGTGTAGATAATTAGATTAATGCATCTCATTGTGACAATCAGAGATCATTGTATTTGTATGTGATACTGACTCTGTGTCCTGTAATGCACCTTGCTACATATTTTACTTGGGTTTATGTAAAACCTTTAACAAAACCAGTTACTAGTGTCTGATTGTTAGTGGAATTTCCAACCTTGCCATTTAAAATTAACAAAAACAAATCCTGTGAAAAGAAGTTTGCACATTCTCCCTGTGTCTGCGTATGTTATTACTGAGTGCTCCGGTTTTCTCCCACAATCCAAAGTTATGCAGGCTTAGGTGGATTAGCCATGGGAAATGCAGGGTTATAGGATAGGGTATGGAGGTAGGTCTGAGTGGGATGCCCTTCAGAAGGTTAGTATTGACTTGATGAGCTGAATGACCTGCATCCACGCTGCAGGGATGCTATGATTTAGAAGTCTCTTCCATCAGTAATTTAAAAAAAAAAGTGGAGAAGTCAATTCTCCCTGATGCTGAATTGGCATCAATATCTGTATTCCATATTACAGGAAATTATAATTTGGTTGTTTTATAGAATAGAACAGTACAGCACAGTACAGGCCCTTCGGCCCACGACATTGTGCTGAACTTTTACCCTAAACCTAAGGTCTATTTAACCTCCACCCCTACCTTATACTATCGTCCATATGCCTGTCTAATAGCCGCTTAAATGCCTGTAATGAGGCCAACTCCACTACCCTCTCCACGACAATGCATTCCATGCCACTACCACTCTGAGTAAAGAACCTACCTCTGACGTCTCCCCTATATCTACCTCCACTCACTTTAAAACTATGCCCCCTCGTAATAGCTACCTCCACCCTAGGAAAAAGTCTCTGGCTGTCCACCTCTATCAATTCACCTCTCATCCTTCATCGTTGTAAAGAGAAAAGCCCTATCGCTCTCAACCTTTCCTCGTAAGACCTTCCCTCCATTCCAGGCAACATCCTGGTAAATGTCCTCTGCACCTTTTCCAATGCTTCCACATCTTTCCTGTAATGAGGCGACCAGAACTGGACACAATACTCCAGATGTGGCTGAACCAGGGTTTTGTATAGCTGGAGCATAAGTTCACGGCTCTTGAACTCAATCCCTCTATTAATGAAAGCTAACTCACCATATGCCACCTTAACAACTCTATCCACCTGGATGGCAGCTTTCAGGGAACTGTGGACATGAACCCCAAGATTCCTCTGCTCCTCCACACTGCCAAGAATCTTTCCGTTAACCGTGTATTCTGCTTTCAAGTTTTTCCTTCCAAAATGAATCCCCTCACACTTTTCAGGGTTAAACTCCATCTGCCACTTCTCAGCCCAGCTCTGCATCCTATCACTGCCCCTTTGTAACCTAGAACAGCCCTCTGCACTGTCCACAACGCAACCCACCTTCGTACCGTCTGTGAACTTACTAATCCACCCTTCCACTCCTTCATCCAAATCATTTTCAAAAATCACAAATAGAAGAGGACCCAGAACAGTTCCTTGTGGTACACCACTCATAACTGAGCACCATGCTGAATATTTTCAGTCCACTACCACCCTTTGTCTTCTAAGGGTCAGCCAATTCTGAATCCAATCTGCCACATTTCCCCCTATCCCATGCCTCCTTACCTTCTGCATGAGCCTACCATGGAGAACCTTTATCAAACACCTTACTTAAATCCATGTATACCACATCCACTGCTCTACCTTCACCCACGTGTTTGGTCACCTCTTCAAAGAATTCAATAAGATTTGTGAGGCATGATCTACCCCTCAAATCTGTGCTGACTATCATGAATCAAACTGTGCCTATCCAAGTGATCATAAATCCTATCTCTCAGCCCTTTCCAATAATTTGCCCACCACTGAAGTAAGACTAACTGGCCTGTAATTTCCGGGGTTATCCCTATTCCCTTTGAACAAGGGAATGACGTTTGCCTCGCTCCAATCTTCCAGCACTATACCTGTGGACAGTCAGGATGAAAAGATGATCACCAAAGGCCCTGCGATCTCTTCCCTTGCTTCCCATAGGATCCTTGGATAAATCTCATCAAGCCCGGGGGACTTATTTATCTTCAACTTCCTCAAAATTCCTAGTACATCTTCCTTACTAACATCGACTTCCTCTAGCCTACCAGCCTGTTTCACACTGTCCTCCTCTACAACTAGGTCCCCCTCATTTGTGAATACCAAAGAAAAATATTCATTAAAGACCTCTCCTATCTCTTTTGGCTCAGTGCACAAATTCCCTTTACAATCCTTGATCGGCCCTATCCTTCGGTCATTCTCTTATTCCTCACGTATGTTTCACCTGTTTTAGAATAAACTTGAGTGCTTTCTTTGTTTTGTTCTCCTAAATCTGTATCTTCTATTTTTTTTTCACTCAAAATAACAATCTGCTGCAAATAAATGAAAGTATTTTTATTCTTATAGGGACAAGCTGAGTTTGACAAAGAAATCCTCTCTTCTACTGTTAAGACAAGAATTATAGCATTTCCTTACAGTGATCATAAATTTAGCATGCACATTTGTGGTGTAGTGAGCAATGATAGATGTGGGAAATTTTTAAAAATAACCATAAAAGGAAATTGAAGTCAAGTTGTCACAAACAGTGTCTAAATTGATAACCAGGTTAAAATTTGGAACATTAGCATCTTCAGTGGCAGACAAGTGTTTTTTTTTTTTTTTCCCCCCTCTCGGTGTGTAAACTGTTAGAGTACCTCAGTGATGAACAGCATGGTGTTTGGCTCCAGAGGTTATAATGTACTGACTTCAAGTGCAAGGCTCAGCAATGACCTAGATTTAGTTCCCTGCATCTTTCAGCAAGAATGTATTGAGTTCATCACTCATAAAGCTCTCAAATGCGGAAATTCAATATACAAATCTGCTTTACTTCAGCTGTGCCGTTGCAACATTCTTATGATTCACATTGATCAAACCACAATTTTAACAGTACGCTAGTAGGCAACAGTTAGCTTTGACATAAACTCATTTTCGGGCCTGTACTACTTGTACTTGATCCCGTTTACAAGAGTGGTTCTTTTTTCAAATTGCTATCCACTAAGAAGTACGAGGTTGTAGGGTGCTGGGACGTAAATGTTATTGCATTATTAAACTCTCACAGGGCAGAAACTGCTACTTAAGTCAAGAAGGATGGAGGCTAAGCATTTTTAGAGGCATAGTGGGTAGGGCAGGAAAAATCTGAGGGAGTGCATTTTCCCCCTGCTGCAATGCATGCTATGTGCCACCTTGTTTCAAAACTTACGACGCAGGTCTAGATGCAGGTCACTTTTTTTCTGTCTCTCAGGCTGGGAAATTACAACCGAAATGCATTATAAAGTGGTTTGATGTCACGCAGTGTAAGAATTTGAAATGAGATTTTTGAAAAGACTTGGAAAATATCCAGAAACCGCAGTTCACACTTGAGATGTGTAAAATGCCTTGTGTACTGACCACATCTATCAATAGTTTATTTGTACCAAAATTGTTCTTGATAGACTACATTTTAATATTATACTGTCAAATTTATAGTTGTATGAAAAAGTTCTTTTTACGTAGCTATAACTCTAGTAAATGTACTTCAGCAAAATATAGTTTTTTTTTCTAATAAATGATGTTTGTTTTCTCCTAGTTTTGAGAAGTACTTTCTAATGTGTTCATTGACACACAATGGAAAAGATATTTTTAAACCTGTGCAATCTAAGAAAGTTGGGACGTATCGCAGCTTTTTCTATCACATCAAGTGGGATGAACTGTGAGTGTTTTCTCTGCTCGTGGGTTCCAATAAGTAAATCACTTGGAATCAAAAGTTGGTTGAATTTTCTACTTGCCTTTGACTCCCTGGTGCAATAGAATTCTATATTCAACTTAGTGCAATTTCAATAGGAAATTATTAAAGTTGTCCTGCTGGTCTTGTCAGTACCACCTACCAAAAAATCGTTTTAGTATGAAATCATAAAGAATGGCAAGTTGCAATGGGCTGAAGTATTTAATTTTAATGGCAGTGCCACAGGAGAGTTTGATGTCTTTTAAATTTGCTAAGAAGAAAGTAGCAATGGCCTGCATTCATGCTTATGATCCAGTAGCTATTTGCTCTCAGGTTCATGCCATGTGTGTTGAATGAAGTGATTTTTGTCTCGCGCATATTGCTGAAAATCATCTGCTTTTGTTGATCATGCATATTACTACAATGTGGAATAGGTGGTGAGATCATGTGAAAGGAGGGTTGGCGAGTGAAAAGAAAAACCTTCTCATGTTTAGTTCCGTTGATAACTTGTTAACTAATTTGAAACTCAAAGATATCTAAATCCTTAAACTAAATTATGAGTCTTGTTTACAAAAGCTGACATGCTGCTTTACAACGTATTTTGGTGTGTTTTGGCGTAACTGCACAACTGGTTGCAGGCTGGTGTTGTCGGTATGAAACCTTCAATGTTGTATTCTATCGTATCCCTGCACCTATAATTTAATATTCTAAAAGAACACCCATTATTTACTGATTGCTTCCACCATTTGCTGAAAAATATGTGGTTTATATTGTATGAGAAAACGGTTCTGAAATTAATGCTCATGTTATATTAGCTTTACCATGAATCCCTGGATAGGGTTGAGACCAAGGAGGATTGGTGGCAACAAACTACCTCAAACAACATTTCTCAGCACCACATAGAAGTAGAGGTAACAAATACTACAAGGTTACCAGCAGTGGGCATCTAGAAAAGCACTGCAGTTGAAGATAAATTATAAAAAGTAAACTATTTAAATAAGATTTTTCCATGCTTTTTATCGGATATTACAAGAATGTTTGTACAGCTTCATTGTGATAACAAGGTGTACAGCTGGATGAACACGGCAGGCCAAGCAGCATCAGAGGATCAGGAAAGCTGATGTTTCAGGTCTACACCCTTCAGAAAAAAAAATTGATTGTGATGTCTGCTTTTGACTGACGTGTGAGATGTTTTGAGTGAGTTAAGAGTGAATATTTTGTCAAGTCTTTTTTTCGAGCTTTTAACCAGCTACTGGCGGTGTTCTGCTTTTTTTAAATGTTGAAGTCATGTCAGATTTTGAACAGATGAAAATCTTAAAAAGGATTGCATTCCGACCTATTTGTGTTTTGTTTTCATCTTAAAAACATTGCTTGTAGTATGTGTTATTTTCTCCATATTACTTCATCTTCCATGATCAACTGTACAGCTATTTCCTTCTGATTATTTGAGTGGTATTGTGATTTTTCCCTGCAGGTCAGGGCATCCTGCTAGTAGGTGAAGCCATCAGTAAGTTCAGTGACATAGTGATTAGTGCTATTTGTGCTTGGTACAGTATGCAGAATCGCTAGTTAAATTTTAATATACGAGAGACACCAAAATGATGCTGTCCGTCTCAAGATGACTGAGACAAAAGTGGACTCCTTTATACAGTACCGTTTAAAAGGTCCATTAGACCCCTGTTTTCTTCAAAACCAAGAACCAGATTCTTCAACAGACTGAACTTTAGACTGCTTTGGCTTCTAATCAGGTGTAGTATTAGCTAGTTGTTTTGTAACATTTTACCCCACAGGAGGCTGCTCAATCAAATAAGAGCTCATGGTGTTACGTACGAACGTAAGAAAGAGGAGCAGGAGTAAGCCATCTGGCCCCTCGAGCCTGTTCCACCATTCAATAAAATCAGGGCTGATCCTTTCGTGGACTCGGCTCCATTTACTGGTCCACTCACCATAACCCTTTAATTCCTTTTAGTTCAAAAAATTTATCTATCTTTGCCTCAAAAACATTCAGCAAGATATCCTCAACTGCTTCACTGGGCAGAGAATTTCACAAATTCACAACCGTTTGGGTGAAGAAGTTCCTCCTCAATTCAGTCCTGAATCAGCTCCCCCTTATTTTGAGGCTATGCCCCCTTGTTCTAGTTTCATCTGCCAATGGAAACAACCTCCCTGTTTCTATCTTATCTATTCCTTCATAATTTTATAAGATTTCCCCCCCCACCCAACATTCTTCTGGAGTCCAGTGAATAATGTCCCAGTCTACTCAATCTCTCCTCAGAAGCCAACCCTCTCAACTCCAGAATCAGCCTTTGTGAACCACCTCTGCACCCCTTCTTGTGCCAGTACATCCTCCCTCAAGTAAGGAGACCAAAACTCTACACAGTGCTCCAGATGTGGCTTCACCAGCACAACATCCCTGTTTTTAAACTCCATTGCTCTAGAAGTGAAGGGCAATATTCCATTTGCCTTTTTAATTACCTGCTGCGCCTGTAGACTACTTTTCTTGAGATTCATGCACAAGGACACCCAGGTCCCTCTGCACAGCAGCTTGCTGCAATTTTTCATCGTTTAAACAATTGTCCATTTTGCTGTAATTCCTACTAAAATGGATGACCTCACATTTACCAGCATTGTACTCCATCTGCAGACCCTTGCCTACTCACTGAGCCTATCTGTAACCCTCTGCAGACCTTGTGTCCTCTGCATACTTCTGCTCTATCAGTCATCTTGGTGCGATCTGCAAACTTCAACACACTAGAATTGGTTCCTAACTCTAAACCATCTATGTAAACTGTAAACAATTGCAGCCCCAACACTGATCCCTGAGGGACACCGCTAGCCACTGATCGCCAACAAGAAAAACGCCAATTTATCCCACTCTGCTTTCTATTAGTTAACAATCATCAATCCATCCTAATGCATTACCCATTATGCCATGCGACTTTATTTTATGCAGCAACCTTTTGTGCAGAACCTTGTTGAATGCCTTCTGGAAATCCAGATACACCACATCCACCACTGTCCATTGTCTGCCTCAAACTAAAGTAAATTTGTAAAAATGACCTGTGTTTCATGAACCCATGCTGCATCTACCTGATGGGACAATTTCTATCCAGCTGTCTTGCTATTTCTACCTTTTTGTGATAGATTCAAGCAATTTTCCCCACAATAGAAGTTAAAACTAATGGACCTATAGTTACTCACCTTTTTAGGGCAAGGAGAGAGAATTGGCTGACTGGCAGAAGGCAGAGAGTGCATAAAGGAGTCTTTTTCAGGGTGACCGCCAGTGACTAGTGGAGTTCTGCAGGGGTCAGTGTTGGGACTGCAGGTATTCATGTTGTATGTTAATGATATGGATGCAGGAACTGAGGGCATTGTTGCTAAGTTTGCAGATGACACACAGGTGGAGGTACAGGGAGTGCTGAGGAAGCAGGGATGCTGCAAAAGGACTTGGACAAGTTCGGAGAGAGAGCAAAGAAGTAGCAGATGGCATACAATGTGGGAAAATGAGGTTATGTGCTTTGATAGGAAGAATAGAGGCGTAGACTACTTTCTAAAGGGAGAAAGGCTTTGGAAATCTGAATCACAAAAAGGGATATGGGAGCGTGCAGGTTCAGTTGGTAGTTGGGAAGGCAAGTGCAATGTTAGTATTCATATAGAGAGCTAGAATACAAGAGTAGGGATCTACTGCTGAGGCATGTTGAATGTTGTGAGCAGTTTTGGACCCATATCGAAGGAAGATGTGCAGGCCTTGCAGGGGTTTGAAGGAGGTTCGCAAGAATGATCCTGAGGATGAGCGGCTTTTCATATGATGAGCGTTTGAGATCCTTGGGTCTGTACTTGATGGTGTTTAGAAGGATGAGGGGTGACCTCATTGAAATTTGCAGAATAATGAGGGGTCTGGATAGTGAACTTGAAGCTGTTTCCACAATTAGGACAGACTTTGATCGAATTCAGTCTTCTAAAAATTAATTTCTCTAAACAATCTTAATACCTTTTGATACCCAGACAAGTATAACATTTCAGTCATCACATGCAAATCCAAATTTTAAATAGAAAAAAATGCCTAAATGTTTTTTAAGCAGAAGATATATCAGCTAAATACAAGAGCAGGGATGTACTGCTGAGGCATGTTGAATATTGTGAGCAGTTTTGGACCCGTATCAAAGGAAGATGTGCAGGCCTTGCAGGGGTTCGAAGGACGTTCGAAAAGACCAGCTTTTAGAACTGAGATGAGGAATTTCTTCAGCCAGAGGGTGGTGAATCTGTGGAACCCATTGCTTCAGAAGGTCGTCGAGGTCAAGTCTTTGTATTTAAGACAGAAGTTCTTGATTAGTAAGCGATTCTAAAGTTAGAGAAATGTATCAGTCATGATCGAATGGTGGAGCAGACGCATGGGCTGAATAGCCTCTTTCTGCTCCTACATCTTATGGTCACTTGACCTGCATCAGCTTCCACGTTGATGCTTTTGAAACCTCTTTACTTTCTAATGTGAATGTTGATGTAATGTGACAATAGCTCACGTCTCCATAAGAAATTAATTTACAAGTTTCATTGTATTTGAAAGGTGAACTTTTTTCATTCCATACCCTATCAAATATTTCAGTTACTTGATTTGATTTTTTTTAAAAGATCAGTAGAGATGATTGTGAAAATCTTAAGAGAATTCGTTTTAGAAATATCGCCTGTCCAAATCTGACTAATCCAATAGCTTCAGTGTTAAAGAAGTACTGTCTGCAGTGTCTGTATTCACATGCCTTTTGTTGTTTTTATTTCTACTTTTCAGAATCAGCTTCCCTGTCCAGATTGCACAATTGCCTCTTGAATCAGTGCTGAGTCTTAGCTTGTATGGAGTTCTAAATCCCTCAGCAGCTGGATCGCCAGATTCGAACAAACAGCGGAAGGGACCCGAGTACCTTGGTCGAGTTTCCATGCCTCTCTTTGACTTTAAGCGGTAAAAATTACTTCTCCTTTTCCCTTTTTAAGGCAATGCTGTTCTAGCTTGTGACCCAGTTCTAACAATTTGGGAAGTAACCAATTCTACTGTTTTTTTATTATATTTTGATAACTAAGTTCTTCCCCCTTATGTGGTTGCCTCTGTCTTCAAAAGGGTGCTGACAAGTGGAACAAAACTGCTTGGTCTGTGTACATCTATCCTGGTGAATCCAAGTGGGACGACCAATAAGAAAGGGAATTCGATGGAGAGAATTCCATTACAAGTGAGTTTGATAGTCTAGTCAGTGAAACCGTTTTGGCTCATTCATGCCGCAAAAGATGTAACCTTCAAGGCTGTTGTTGATTACATCGTCTGCTTAAACATTTGGGCTTTATTTCCATTCAAAATTTGGATTTGACTGTGATGACTGAAATGTTATTCTTGTCTGGGTATCAAAGGTATTAAGATTTGTTTAGAGAAATTAATTTTTAGAAGACTGAATTACAGCAACTGAACCAATTTCTCTAACCATTGAATGACTAAGACTGGATATTGCTGAGATCAATTGGCTCTGCTAAAAGACCTGAGGAGCTATACTAAGTTCTAATAAGCAAACACAGCTTTCCTCTCGCAATAGCCAAGTTGGTGTCTCTGTCAGCATTCGTGGTACAGCACATTTAAAATCAGTTTGGTCAACTTGGCCCAAGGTTTTCAATGCGCAAAACAGTCAAATTTCTTTACTATTTTATGCCCAAGTCGAGCCTTTCTTTTTCCCCACCAGTAACACTTGCCATTTTGATTTTTTCAAACAAACTTTTATATGCTAACCTAACTTCTTTGAACTAAAAGCAAAAATAGTGGATGCATTGGTGGTTATCTTCCAAGATTCTTCTGACTCTGAACAGTTCCCACAGATTGGACAGTGGCTAATGTCACTGCACTATTTAAGAAGGAAATTGGAAGAAAATGGAATTATAGACCAGTGTGTCTGACGTTGGTAGTGTGGTAGATGTGAATGTCTGCTATCAAGGATTTTATAGCATAACACTTTTTTAATTTAAAAAAAGTGGTAGAATCAGAATCAGACACAATCAGCATGGATTTGCAAAAGGGAAATCATGCTTGACAAATTAATGGAACTCTTGAGAATGTAACTAATAGCATTGATCAGGGAGAGACAGTAGATGTGGTTTATTTGGCCTTTGAGAAGGCTCTTGACAAATAAGCTATTAGATTTGGATAGGTGACTGGCTCAGAGGTGGGCGACAAAGGGCGGTGGTGGACAGTTGCTTTTTGAACTGGAGGCCTATGACCAGTAGTGTGCCACAAGGATTAGTACTGGGTCGACTGCTTTTTGACATTTTATTTCAATGACTTGGATGTGAATATAGGAGGTATAGTTAGTAAGTTTGCAGGTGTCACCAAAATTGGTGGTGTAGTGGACAGCCAAGACTGATACCTTCAAGTACAACAGGGCCAAGGAGTGGCAGATGGAGTTAACTTAGATTAAATGTGAGGTGCTGCATTTTGGTAAGGCAAATCAGGGCAGGACTTATACGTTTAATGGTAAGGCCCTGGGGAGCAAAGAGACGTCTGAGTGCAGGTTCATAGTTCCTTTTGAAAGTGGAGTCACAGGTAGAGAGGACAGTAAAGGAATGCTTCCTTTATTGGTCAGTGCATTGATTTATAGGAGTTGGGATGTCCTGTTGCAGCTGTACAGTACATTGGTTAGGTAGCTTTCGGAATACTGCTTTCAGGGAAAGGTGTTGTGAAATTTGAAGGGGTTCACAAAAGATTTACATGGATATTGCGAGCATTGGAGAGTTAGAGCTACAGGAAGAGGCTGAATAGGTTCGTGCTATTTTCAAAGGAGCGTTGGAGACTGAGGGATAAAATCAGGAGGGGCATGAACAGGGTGAACAGCTGAGGTCTTTCCCCAGTGTACCGGAGTACAAAACTAGAGGGCATAGGTTTAAGATGAGAGGGGAAGGATTTAAAATGACCTAAAAGGGGAAACATTTTCACGCAGAGGGTGGTGCAAGAATGGAATGAGCCACCAGAGGAAGCGGTGGAGGCTTGGTACAATTAAAACATTGAAAAGGCATTTGGATGGGTAAATGAATAGGAAGGGTTTAGAGGGTTATGGACCAAATGCTGGCAAATGGGACTAGATTAATATAGGATATCTGGTCTGCATGGACAAGTTGGACTGAAGGGTCTGTTTCCATGCTGTACATCTCTATGACTCAATATATAAAAATTTTAAAGCAGGTGGGATTTGGGGTAGTGTTTTGAGATGGATAGAAAATTAGCTAGCAGACAGGAAAGAGAATAGGAATGAATGGGTCTTTTTCTGAATGCCAGAATGTGCTTAATGGGATACTAGGATTGGTACTAGGACCCCTGCTATTCACAATAAGCTAATGATTTAGATGAGGGAACTAAATATAACGTCTCAATTTGCAAATAGCGCAAAGTGAAGTGCAGAGATGTTGCTGGCTGATTTGGACAGGCCAAGTGGGCAAATGCTTGGCAGATGCAATGTCATGTGGATACATGTCAGATTGTCCATTTTGGTGGCAAAAATATGAAGGCAGATTATTATTTGGCTGTAAATTTGAGAGGGAGATTGTCTTTCTGTTCATAAAATAGCGGTAGCTCCAGGTGACAGAATTTCACCTCCGATGAATGGCTTAAGATGACCAGGTTACCCTTACCGAAGGGTGTAGAGATTCGGAAAGATGAGGGATAGAGCGCAGCTTGATAGAATTTGATGGCATTGTACCCAGACTCAAATTGTAACTTTGTGATTTAGATAGTTGCAACAAATGTCAAAGTTGATGTCTGTTATGGTTTTATTGTGCACATCTAGCAACTTGTGCATTTGGCCTTTCACATGCCTTAACGTCAGATTTTCAAATCACTCGACGCAGAAAATAATGGTAGCTATCTGCATTGCCTCAGTTGTGATCAAGATTTGAATGCAAGGTTATGTGCCTAATTAAAATGTTTTTTTCATATTATAAAGCAGTAAAATTGTTGGAGATTATGTACTGCTTCATTTGGTAGCTTTCATTTAGGCACTTTGCAGAAATTATGGACAACAGACTCATTCTGGTCAAAGTGCACAATCTGAACTTTAGATCAGCTGAGCAGCTACCGTTGTTCTTTTTAAATATAAATGCATTGTTTTTGTCTGTTTATGTACAACAGAACAATAGAAATCAGATTCTAATCTTTACTTCTTTTAAATTTAGGTGGACTTTCCATCATTCACCTTTGATATTGTCTACTGTTCTCCACAACCCAGCCGAGTGGTTGAGCTTGATTTTGAAACACTCGATCAAAGTTTCCAGAAACAGCTTCTTGAGATGTTTGCCAAAGATTTGACATATGAGTAGGTTCTTCCTGTGAACATGTTTTTGATTTCATTTTGATTTTGTTTGCGATATATAGAGCCCCATTAAACGCTGCATGTTTAGAAGTGCACAACGATGGTAATTTAACTACTCCATTGCATGTTCTCAAAGTGCTGCAAATGCTATAATTGATGTTCATCTTATGCAGTTAAACTGTAAGTTATCAATGAATTAAATGGAGGCAAAGTGGTATCCAGGTATACTATCTGCAACTCCTATAATGAATCATTTCATTGTTTTACTTGGTTGACATCTCGTAATAATTTAATGTGGAAAGGACTTTATTTCTAACCCTAATCCTACTTCAGAACACCGAATATATATTATGTAGGCATCCCTCAAAAGACTGAAAAATGTGTGGTTCTCCAAAAGACTGTTTGTTTTCAAAAGCAAGCTATTAAACTATACGGACCCGGGTTCACTTGTTGGTCTGTTGAGTTAGCTGATCTGAAAAGGATCAGTTGCAGAACAAAAACTGACTCCTGAGCTAAAGAAAGGAAAAGTAATTGGAGCTGGGGATAAATTCGCAGCATCGTTTTCCATCTTAAAGGCCCATTTGCTTATAGCAGATCTACTGCATGTCTATTTCTTTCCTTCCTTCCTTCCGTCCTGTATTCTTTGTCAATTGGTGCCAAACATCAAGCAAACCTTGGAGTTCTTTAGAATTTCCTGACCTCCAAGTCCTAATTTGATGGATCAATCTTGAAATTGACTCTGTGTATCACACAAGTTCCTGCATGCTTAACCTTTGAGATCTGTTTCTGTTTTGGAGCTGTTTTATGTAATGCTTGAACTTGCTGTAAGCAACTAAATGTTCAGATCTAAAAAATTAATAATCTTTCCTTCTTTGCTTTATCATTTTAAATTTAAATTATGAGTTAGATGCTTAAAATGTGGCTCCAAATATGTTGCCTTAGCATATGTTGTGCAAGAAAGATTGCAGCAACTCTCCAGTAGTCTTTTTGAGTAGTAATACTTCATGCATGTGTGTAGACTGAGTGTTTATGAATGTGGAGTAGTAATGTATTGTTCCTAATTGCATCCTCTCATACTATTTGTGTAGGATCTTGGCTCCTCAACTCTGGTTATGTATAAAGTAATCCTATGCAGGATGCCCATAAGATCTATGCTTGTTGGTCTAAATGACTTGGTGCTACAATAACTTGCGCCATTTCCCACCAGGCTGTTGAAGATCTTTTATAGTCTGTCTCTTGGAGTCCCAGACAAGAGAGCTGCAATACAAATTCATTTAAGGCTTGCTGGCAGATGAGATACTTCATGTATTATTTGGTTACATGCACTTGCCAAATTCCAGAATTGCCATGATTTATTTAGTAGGTGCATTGTCACAAAGCCTAAATACATTCCTTTTAAATTTGCCGTCAAGTTTAATCAGGGAACACTCCTCCATAATGTGAGCCATTATTTGGATGGCACCATCATTTTAGCTTAGATGGTCTTTATTACCCTACTGCTTTTGTCTGGCTGCACCAACGTCTGGGCAAATTGGGGGAAATAATTTAAAAGGGTCCACTGTTGCCATAGGAAATCAAAGCTATGTGGATGTGCAGTGGGGACCAATGAGCGTGAATTCTGTTGAATGTTTTCTCCTACCAATTCTCCTACCATGAGTCCTCAGGAGTTTTCCAAAGAGACTTTCTCATGCTGTTGTTGAGTTGCATACCAATACCAATTGGTGTGGTCAGATAAGAACCATTCTGAGATAGAGAATTTTGCACGTGAGTAAATAGTGATGAGCAGAGACTCTTGGAGCCTTGGCCTGTGATCCCCAGGCAATACTGGCCAGTTTCCTGGGAAAGTTGAGGGTTTTAATTTTTTTTCTATAGTCTATATGTTGGGGTTCTGTCAAGAGTGGCGTCTGGATAAACAAAATGAGGACTGTGCTTCAGTCTCTGGCATCCAAGTTGAAGTTCAGGTACCTCCTTAGTGTTGACATTTTGATGAATAAAGCAAATTGTATTGTCTACTGCAGTGAGGTCAAGGAAAATTTCCCTGTTTTGAGTTACATTGAGAGGCATTTTAAATGTATGGGATTGAAATGAAGATCTAATCATGCACTTCTTGTTGAAAGCTGCCTTGGGTGTGTTCCATTTCTAGACTGATAAAGATCTAAAGCAGACAAAAAGGCTCTTCAGATTGAGTATGCACCAGTCAACAATAACTACCTAACTATCTGCTGTAAAGTTGTATGGTCTTCTATCTTGAAACATACTGGGTTATTGGTCAGTAGTTTGAAAATGATTTAGAGTCTTTGTCTGTTTTTTGGAGGCTAATGACTTCAGGCATGCACCAGTATTTTTTGGCAGTCTTCTTTGGCATTTACCCCTTATTAGGACAACCAAAAGTATGTCCATGTGCCATGGTGTTTTAGGAACTCTGGAGGATGTTGGTGTAACTAGCAGCAGTGCCCAGCTTGATAGTTTGTAGTACTTTAACTAACTACAGGGTGGTGAAGGGTTCTAGGAAAGATCTGAAATTGTGCTGCCGATAGAAAGATCACTGCTATCTCTGGCTATTTTTTCCTCACTGTTCCAGTGGTGCCTTTCCTGTGCAAAGGAGATGTTTGCTACCTGATTGACAGCGAGGCATTAATGATCACTGACCTGCTCTGAAGTGTCAATAAATATCTGTAATGTTTCTCCTCTGAGCTGAAGAAGTCCTTTTGTTGGCTCTTTCCATCTGGCCCACTGAGCACTGTCCAAGGATTCAGTCGGCTAGTCTGTCGTGTTTGGGTCCCCGGAGAAATCCTTGTTGAAGTAGAGAGGCTGACAACTGTTCCAGCCAAGGTACATTCACAAGGTGGTAACCCCTGGAAATGTCTGTGGCTCTTGTGGCTGCTTGGTAGATGACTCTGCAGCAGTGACTGCATGCCACTATATGGGGCTATTTCAGGATGGTATCATTTTAACTTTTTTGATCCAAAAAAGTCTGTATACCAGCAGGTATTAAATTCTGGGATTACAGAGATGTGTGTATTTTAAGATTATTTTTTTAAAAATTACTTTGAAAACAAATTCCGCAGCAAGTGATCAGTTAAGAATGCCTTTTTCAGTTACAGCTATGTGTGATGTATGGCTCGTTGCAGTTTTGGTACTTTTAGCTGTTAGTCCTTGGTGTTTGTTTAATTTACTCCAGTTTCAATATGCAACAGATGCTTCAAGACTATTCGATCTCTTGTGAAATTAGGAATACTTCTGGGGATGCACACCTGAACAGAAGCATAATACTTCCCATTGAACAGCATAAAGTTAATTACTGTTCTTTATCCCCACCAATCAGTTGACATGGCAAGCAAATGTATTCCATTTATATGTTACATACAGTGGCTATTTAGTGCATTTCTGCTACAGATTGAAGCTCTGTTTGGGGAACATATTAATCGCTGGTCAGGAATGAATCCTTACTTTGTTTGGAATTCTTCAAGGTCTCTGATTTCCCAAGTGATAAATGCCAAGATGGAATCAGTTGTATCATGTTTGCAATATACTTCAAAATATTTTGTACAGAGTCCTGGGGGAGTGCAAGGGTGTGTGCGTTAATTGAGGATACCAAGTTGGATTGAAATGCCCTCCATGGTCCTAAAGCCTTTTTAACTTTTCTGTGACAAATGACTATGGCTAGTGGCTGTAGAATGTACAGTGTGCTGACACCTTTGCCAATAAATGGAAAACACTTGGGTGGAAACTGATTTGCTTTTAAAGTGTTGTGTAGCAAAAAAAAGGAAAATTTTATAGTTCTAATAATTGGTCTTTATTTTAATTCAACAGACTTTCCAAGGCAGATAAAGAACTTTTATGGGATATGAGACAGTATTGTTTTTCCCATAGTAACAGCCTTCCGAAGTTACTTGCTAGTGCAAGTTGGGACTGGGATACTCTACCAGAAATCTACTCTCTGCTCCATCAGTGGACACCACTTTCACCTGTCGCTGCCCTGGAACTACTGGATTCTAAGTAAGCTTGTTTCAAAAATAAAATAAAACTGCATCGTAAGCAGAGTTTTCCTGCATCCTGCTTCTGATAGACTGCTGACAGACGTCCTACTGCTAGTTACTGTCCAGTGTTTTCCAGGAGGAAGCACAGATCTCAAATACTCTATAATGAGGCATTCTGTTTTCAGTCAGTACAAATTGTGATGGATTGGTTCTGAGCCCCTGCTGGCTGAGTCCTATCATAATCACTGCTCTTACAAGAACATTATGACACAGTCAAGAAATTAGAGGAATTAAAGCTCCGTGTTACTGAAGACCCCAGGGTCTTAACGTTATTTTAGTCATTTCCAAGGAAAATAGAAATTAATATCATGCAATATATTTCATTGTCTGGCAGTTATTTCAAACTAATGTGAATTCAGTCAGATCATTTTAGTTGAAAGGATGTAATGGTGAGCAGTGCAAAATCACATGTTTGAGGATTACCTTCAAGCTTTTCACGGTCAATAAGTATATTCAAGGCTGAAATATATGGATTTTTGATCAATAAAGGAATCCAGGGTTATGGGGAAAAGGCAGAAAAGTGCAGTTGAGGATTATCAGAGCACCCATGATCTCATTGATTGGCAGAGCAGACATGATTGGCTGAATAGCACACTTGTCCTCCTGTATTATGGTCTTATGTTCTAAAACATGCTCAAAGATTGATTCCACAGCTCTCTGTGTTAGAGATTTTCAAAGGTTGACAAACCTCAGTAAAATAACCTCTCCATCTCAGACCTAAATGACATTTTTAAATTGTGCCTCCTGGTTGCAGACTCCCCTGCATCATAACTGTGGATTTTGACTGCATCTATGCTGTCTATCTCTTTTTTGAGTCATAGTCATAGAGTCAGAGTTGTACAGAAAACAAACCCTTTGGTCCAACTTATCCGTGCTGACCAGATATCCTAAATTAATCTTTTGTCAGCATTTGGCCCATATCCCTCCATTCATGTACCCATCCAGATGCCTCTTAAATGTTGTAATTATACCCACTTCCTCTAGCATTTTATTCCATATGGGCACCACCCTCTGTGTGAAAAAGTTAACCCTTAAGTCTCTTGCATCTTTTCCTCCCTCACCTCAAACCTATGCCCTCCAGTTTTGAACTCCTCTACCCTGTATTTTGTAAGTTTCAATGTGATTACATCTCTCTCTCAAACTTGAGAATAGAGGCCCAGTCTGTCCAGTCACCTTGTTGTAGGACAGCTCTGCCATCTCAGGAGCAAGTCTAGTGAAACCTTTGTTACACCCCCTTAATGGCAAAAATATAGTTTGTGAGGTCAGAAGAGTAAACTGCATGCAGTATTCTAGTTGTGGTCTAACCAAGTTCTGGTCCGGTGACTCTTCCTCAGAACCCAAAGCATTAACTCTGATTTCTCTTTGCAGGTGTTGCCAGACCTGCAGAGCTTTTACAGCAACTTCTGTATTTGTTTCTGATTTACAACATCCACAGTCCTTTTGGTTTCTATATCATGGAATTGTTTTTCTTGCAATAAAGGCTAACATTCCATTTGCCTTCCTAATAGCTTGCTGCACCTGCATTTTTTTTTTTTCCCTTTTAGTGATTTATCAACCAGAACACCAAGATCCTTTTTGAACATTTCGGCTGCTCAACATTGTACCATTTAAGAAATACCCTACACGTTCCTACCAAGCCTTATATTTTGTCCGTGTATTCTATTTTCCTTGTCCTTGTCTATTAAATAAGCTTGTCCAAAATTTCCTGAAGCAACTTTACATCGTCACAACAAATATTTACTTTTGGCTTTATTATTACATTTGATCCTGATCTCCAAATCACCTGAGCTATGTTCAGGCCTCAGTACTGATTCTCGTGTCACAGTCTGCCAGAATGAGAATGATCTGACTCATTTATTCCTACTCATTTCTTTTTTTTGTTTTAAGCCAATCGTTAATCCATGCCAGCTCGTTGCCATCCCCTATTGCCAATTCCTTCACCTCCGCCGCATCTGCTCCCAAGATGAGGCATTCCACTCCCGGACATCGCAGATGTCCTCATTTTTCAAGGACTACAATTTCCCTTCCACAGTGGTCGAAAACACCCTTGACTGCATCTCTCGCACTTCCCGCAATTCAGCCCTCTCACCCCCTCCCCGCAGAATTCCCCTTGTCCTCACATATATCACCCCATTGACCATCATTCTCCACCACTTCTGCTACCTGCAATCTGACCCCACTAGCAAGGACATTTTTCCCCGACTACCCTTATCTGCCTTCCAGAGGGACCGCTCTCTCCGTGACTCCCTCGTCTGCTCCTCGCTCCCCACTAGCCCCACCAGCCCCACCACCCCTGGCACTTCTCCCTGCAACCGGGAAGTGCTACACCTGCCCCAACACCTCCTTCCCCACCCCCACCCCCCACCTTACCCACATCCCAGGCTCCAAGAAAACCTTCCATGTTAAACAGATGTTCACCTGCACATCTGCTAATGTGGTATATTGTATCTGCTGTTCCTGATGTGGCCTCCTCTTCATTGGGGAAACCAAGCAGAGGCTTGGAGACCGCTTTGTGGAGCACCTAAGCTCGGTTCGTGACAAATGACAACACCTCCCAGTCGCAAACCACTTCAGCTCCCCCTCCCACTCCTTGGACAACATGTCCATCCTGGGCTGCCTCCAGTGCCACAGTGATGCCACATGAAGGCTGGAAGAACAGCACCTCATATTCCGCTTGGGAGCCCTGCAGCCCAATGGTCTCAATGTGGACTTCACAAGCTGCAAAATCTCCCCACCCCCAACCTCCTCCCAAGACCAGCCCATCTTGTCCCCGCCTCCTTGGCCTGTCCGTCTTTTCTCCCACCTATCCGTTCCTCCCACTTCACTGACCAACCCCCAACCCCCACTTCCTACCTAAGAGCCTCATCCCCGCCTCCTGGACCTGTCCATCTTCTCTCCCACCTACCCGCCCCTCCCTCCTCACTGACCAACCCCCATCCCAACTCCCTACCTACACACACCTTTACTGGCTCCATCTCCGCCTCCTTGACCTGTCCGTCTTCTCTCCACCTATCTGCTCCTCTATCCACCTTCTACCATCGCTTCCCCCTCTCTCTATTTGTTTAAGAGCCCCCTTCCCCTCCCTCATTTCTGAAGAAGAGTCCGGACCCGAAACGTCAGCTTTCCTGCTCCTTTGATGCTGCCTAGTCTGCTGTGTTCATCCAGCTCTACACCTTGTTATCTCAGACTCCAGCATTGGCAGTTCCTACTATCTCTCAGCTCATTGCCCACGTGCTTAACTTTCCTAAGTAACTCCTGTGGGGTAATTTATCAATGGGCTATGTCTGTCAGCTCCCCTTTGTTAATTTTATTAATAAACTTTCAAAAAATAACTTCCCATTTGTTAAGTACAATTTCCCATTCACAAATCCACACTGGCTGTCCCCAATTGGATTATTATTATCCAAATGTCAATTTAGCATATTCTTTTGTAATTGATTCTAGCATTTTCCGTACCACTGATGTAAGGGTGTTAGGACTGCAGGTCCCTGTTTTCTCTCTTGCTCCCCTGCATAATATTTGCTAGCTTCAAATCTGCAGAAATTATTTTCGGAAGCTATGGAATTTTAGAGAATTACAAATGCATTAACTATTTCAATACTATCAGGTCCCATGGACTTATCAACTTTCAGCCACAATAATTTCTCCATTTAAAACCTTCCTACAAATACTAATTTCTTTCAACTGATCATTCTGCCTAGTCATTTGAATTTCTAATTCTGGAGATTTCTTGTACAGGTAGTTCTCCTGTAACGCAATAGTTGTTCTTGTGTGACCTTGTGCTGTAGAAAATCACATTATAGTGAAACCACTATTTTGAAAAAAAAATTACTATACCTGTGCAGCAGAGTTTGCGTGATCCATGCAGCGTCCACTATTCAACAATCGCATTACAGCCAATTCACATTAATGAAATACGTGTTATAGCAGAACTACCTGTATCTTCCTCACTTAAAAAGAAAGCAGTCATTTATTATTCCATTCCCCATTGTGAATTCTCCTGACTCTCTGCTTGTAATGGACTCCCATTTGTTTTAGCCAGATGTTTACTCTTATCTACCCCTTGAAACTTTAACGGTCTGTTGTTTGGTTTTTGCTGTAATTTTTAAAAATTCATATCCTATTCTTCCCTTCCTTAGCAGTCTCTTGATCCTCCTTCGCTATAATCATGTATACCTCCCAATCCTCAGAGTTGCTGCTGTTTCTGGTAACTCTATACGCCTTTTGTTTTAATCTTCTACATTCTATAATTCCTTTGTTAGCTACTATTAACTGACCTTTGACCTTTGAGTTTTTGCACCTTGAAGGAATGTGTATTTACTGTAACTCACCTAATAGGCAATGCATAGTATTTAAAGAACTATGTACAGTCATGCCTTTTAATATATTGTTCTAATTTATGCTGCTGCTTTCATAACTCCTTTTAATTTAAGTTAATGCCCCTGCTTCAGATTGACCTACCTCACTTTCAAACATATTGCAAGTTCATTTCATTTAGTTACCCATCCTAAAGGTTCTTTTACAAGATTGTTAATTAATGTTATTCAATACATTATACTTGCTGTAAAATAACATGTCCTCTAGTTAGCTCTTCAACATACTGCTCGAGAAAACCATCCCTAATATTCTCCAGAAATGCATCCTGCACTGCTTTAATGCTTAATTTCTTCAACCAATCTATATGCAGATTGAGGTCACCCATGATTATTACATTTCCCAAATGTTTCTCTTGTCTCCTGATTAATACCGTGCCCCATACTACTGCTATTTTAGTGGCCTAAAAATAAATCCGACCAGTGTCTGCTGGCCCTTGCTGTTTTTAGTGGTATTATCACTGGACTGTTAATCCAGAGACCCAGAGAATGTTCTGGGGACCGGGCTTTGAATCCCGCCATGGCAGATGGAATTTGAATTCAATAAATATCTGGAATTGAATCTAATGATGACCATGAATCCATTGTTGATTGTTGGAAAAACCAGCTTGTTCACTAATGTCCTTTAGGGAAGGAAACTGCCATCCTTACCTGGACTGGCCTGTATGTGATTCCAGACCCGCAGCAATGTGGTTGACTCTGAACTGCCCTCTGGGATGGGCAATAAATGCTACCTAGCCAGTGACACCGTCATCCCATAAATGAATAAAGGATCAAGCTTACACAAGTATTAATGCCCAGAACAGATCCCAATACTTGAGGAATCTGATGCCCTGCTCCCTGCTAGAATGTGGCACTGGGAGTAATCCTGATATCATTGTCCTTGATGCTTGGTTTTGTAATTTCCTTCTAACTCCCTGAAATCTGCCTTCAGGACATCGTCCTTTCTCCTGTCATTTCATCAGTACCATGACTTCTGGCTGAACCCCTCTCTTTCACCCCACCCTCCCCCGCCCCGCCCCAGAGGGATGTAGCTGCTCCATGATGTCTTTGATCTTGGCACCAAGGAGACATCACAACATCATGGAGTCATGTTTAATGCCACAAATGTCTGTGTGATTCCCCGACTATGGAATCCTCTATGATCATTCCTCTTCCACACTCTCGCTGTCGCTCTCGTGACGTTATGGGTTCTGGCTGCACTGCCCTGAGAAACAATTGTCCTCGCTGATTTCCTTAATGGAACAGTGATTACCAAGCAAAGTATACTCTGACTCCTGCATTACCCACCTGGTTTTCTTGGACTGTGTCTATTCCTCTTTGCTTGTACACACTCTTAACCTATGCAGCGACTGTCTCCTGACAGAGTTGCTCCTGCCTCACTCGATAGTGACTCCAGCTGCTGCCTCAATTCCCAAAACCCAGAGCTCAAGCTTGTTCATCCTGTGAAACTTGCTGCCGATGTTTGTCTCAGACAGCTGGCATGCCCTTGACTTTACACATACCTTGAGAATGCACTCACTTGGCCCTTCTGACCTACTAGCCCATAACTGAAAACTATTTGTTACCCTTTTAAGTATGAACTTACTCCTGATAAACAGGCCATTACTCTGAAAAATTAGAAAGACTAGAGACTGGAACACAAACCAAATATCTAACATTCACGTTTTAAAGATTAGAAATACTGACCAATCCTACTCACCAATCAGCTGCTTTCTCAGGACTTGTGCCTTTTGTTGTGGGTGCAGATAGGTCATTTGCTTTATTTCTTAACCCCACCACCCCCCCCCCCCCCCCCCCGTGTGGGAGTGAAATGTTTGGGGTCATATCTAGTGATTTTTTTTTTGTTTTAAAACTTAAAAATCACTTTCTCATAGTTTCTGTTGCATTTGTAAGTTTCAATTGATCTGGTAGTTTGAAGAATTTAATTTTGTTGGAATTATAAATGTAAGATGCAAGTCTCTATTTTAAAGCAGCATTACTTTGTAGTTTTGAACAAAGTGACTCTTCATAGGTTTGCAGATCAGGAAGTACGAAACACAGCAGTGAACTGGATTGAAGCAATGAGTGATGATGAACTGGTTGATTATCTTCCTCAATTTGTAGAGGTAGGTTGATGTTTGCTTGTAATCTGAGGCATTTGAACTCTCAGCACTGTGAACTTGTTTGTTTTTGATGCACAACCTATTGCATACAAGTTAATCTGAAAGCATTTTGTGGGCAAAACATCAGAGGAGGAAACGCTGGTTTGTAATTGGCCTGAGATCTAAGAAAATTCTTAAGTGTTGATGTTATGTTCCCTTAGCTGGCTTGAGCTAATTTATTCAGTGCTCTCAGCAATGGGATTGCTGCTTATAGAACTTTGAAAGAACCTTGATTTGACTTCCTTTTAAACTTGATTGTAATAAGTATTTGCCTTGAATATTTTTTGTTTTCCTTTCTCTTCCTGCTTCTTGGTTCCAGTGGTAAGGCATCAGCATCTTTGGGATTTAGTTCATAATGTCACAGCAGGCTAATGATTGAGTTCAAATAGCTATTACCCATGTGTAAACCTAAACATAATGTTATAAAAGTTTTGGGATCAACCTTTACTTTTCCTATGAAGAAGTGCATTTTTCAGCACACTTAGAAATGTTCATGTGTTATATTTTTGAAATATACTTCAAACAAATCTAGCAATTAAATATTTGATCCCTTCTTCTAAGTCAATTGTAATAAATTGTAAATAGTACAACCCCACCACTGATCTGAGTAGCACTCTACGTGTGAAATCTTGCCAACCCAAAAATGACCCAGTTGTGTCTACTTTCTGTTTTCTGTTAGAATGGTTATTCAGTGTTCTGATATGTCACCCCATACACCAGTAAGTTCTTTATGTAGTAACGTTTGTGGCATCTTGTTAAATGCATTCTGGAATTCTAAGTATAGCACATCTGCACTTTCCTCTGTATCCACATTGAGGAAATAGTCCATAAACATCCAATAATTTAAGTATGGTTTCCTTTTCACAAAGTCATATCAAGGTGTCACTCTTCTGCTCATTAGCTAAAGGATTTAATATATTACACTACGTTAGTAGGAAAGGCCTTGAATAAATCAGTGTTTTTTCAGCTTTCATTTATCCAGTTCTTCACACCACAGCCATACAAAGTGTGGATTAATACATCGGTGTTTTTGCTGACCAGTTATTGGTCACGGTGGATCTGAATGCTGAGTCCATTTTATCCCTATAAATTATCAACTGCTTTTAGTTTTGTGGATTTTAAATTTGTTGCATTCAAACTCAGTTTGTGACATCAAATAGCTCAAAATACATTAGGACCTTATTTACATATTACGTTTCAGAAGGATAATCTCTTGGATTATGTAAACCTTGCAGCTGTCAACTGAATTTTGCTATTTTCTTCAGATGTTAAGATTTTTGTGTTGCCTGAATGCATTGGGATTTACTGTTGTTTGTTTAATTTATAGGCTGTGAAGCATGAATGTTATTTAGACAATGCATTAGTGAAATTCCTTTTGTCTCGAGCTTTGGGAAATGTTGCTGTAGCACACCACTTATACTGGTAAGGAGATGAGTTTTATCTCTATGTATGTAATAAGTGTTGCTCTCTTGGCAAACTTACTTGGAAAAGCAGATGTCAGTACTCTGAGGGATCCCCCCACCTTTCCTACCAATGATTTTCCTCCTGCTGTAGCCAAGTAAATAGAAAAAGGCAATGTACTGCCATCAACCAATTCAGTCTTTCTAATGTGTTAAGTATTCATCTAAAATCAAATTTACATTTGGTAGAAATTACAGTATACCTTCTGAGGTGTTATTTAATATCAAGATCAGTTATCATCTACCAAAGTAGAAATGTCTTGTAGCACAGCACTGCTGAAAGGGAATATTTAATGTCAAAATAAGTACCTGTCCACGTTGAAATGCAGACACAGTGGTATCATTTTGCATTTTTTTTTTGCCTTGGCACAAGTGTACACTTGTCTTTTGATATAGCTGTAAATGATATGCTTTAAAAAAAACATGCAGTTTAAAGATATTATTGTTATTCCAGATCAAGTGCAGGCTTGATACTGAGGATAATTATTCTCATGTGTGTCAGCTGACTGTCACCCATTATTACAAAGAACAAAAGTGAAGTACAGCACAAGAACAGAACCCTTCAGCCCTCAAGCCTGTGCTGATCACCATGCCCTAGCGAAACTAAACAAATGAACCTTCTGTCCTTATTCAGCCCGTATCCTCCTCTTCCTCGCCTGTTCACGTAACCCTTCAGATGCCTCTTAAATGTTGCCAACACGCCTGTTTCCACCATCTCCTCTGGCAGTGTGTTCCAGGCTCCTACCACTCTGGAAAAACTTCCCTTGCACATCACCCTTGAACTTTTTCCCCCTGTCACCATGAACCTGTGCCCCCTTGTAACTGAAACCTCAACTCTGGGAAAAGGCCTCTGACTATCTACCCTAGCTATAACTCTCATAATTTTGTAGCCCTCTATCAGATCTCTTCCCAGTCACCATCTTTCCGCTAAAAATAATCCTAGTCTTTTTAACCTTTCCTCATAGCTAATGCCCTCGACTGGTTCACATCCTGGTGAACCTTCTCTGCACTCTCTCTGAAGCTTCCATGTTCTTCTGGTAGTGTGGCGGCCAAAACTGTACATAACTCCAAATGCAGCCTAACAAGGGTTTTATGTAGCTGCAACGTGGGTTGCCAACTCTTGTACTCCATGCCCCAGCCGGTGGAGGCAAGCATGCCATGTGCCACCTTAATCACCTTGGCCACCTGTGTTGCCACTTTCAGGGAACTGTGGACCTGCATACCCAGATCTGTCTGTATGCATGTTAATGTTCCTAAGGGTTCTGCCATTTACAGTATAATTCATAGCTAAATCTGAAATGCAAAATGCATCACCTTGTATTTTTCTGAATTGAACTCCACCTGCCGTTTCTGTGCCCAAGTTGCCAATCTATACATATCCTGTTATATGCTTTCACAAAAGTCAGCACGATCAGCAACTGCACCATCCTTCATGTCATCTGCAAACTTATTAATCGGCCCACCCTCATTTTTCCTCCAGATCATTTATATATACTACAAGTAACAGAGGACCTAAGACCAAACCCTGTAGAACACTAGTTACCGGTCTCCATTCTGAAAAACACCCTTCCACCGTTATGTTCTTTATCTATGACCAGGCCAGTTTTGTATCAAACTAGCCAGCCCACCCTGCATCCCATGTGATTTTGAGTTTTAGTACCAGTCTGCCATGTGGGACTTTATCAAATGTCTTACCAAAGTCCATAAAAACTACAACCACAGCTCTTCCCTCATCAATTATCTTTGTCACCTCTTCAAAAAATTTTTTTGGTCAGGTTGGTGAGACATGATCTTCTCCGTACAAAACCATGTTGCCTGTCACTAACTCATTCATTTTCTTCCGAATGTGCAGAGATCTTGTCCCTCAGGATCTTCTCCAAGAGCTTCCCCACCATGGATGTCAGGCTCACTGGCCTATAATTATACCTGGATTATCCCTGCTTCCTTTCTTAAATAAAGGAACAATGTTGGCTAATCTCCAGTGGTCTGGAACCTCACCTGTGGTCAAATAGAATGTGAAGATATCTGCTCATGCCCCAGCTATTTCTTCCCTTGCTTCTCGCAGTAACCTGAGATGGATCCCATCTGGCCCTAGGGACTTGTCTACCCTAATGCAATTTAGGATACCCAAAACTTCCTCCTTCAATATATTGACATTCTCTACAGTATTCACACGCTCATCCTTGACCCCCGTATCAGTCACCACCTTCTCCTTGGTGAATACCAATACAAAGTACTCATTAAAGATCTATCCCACTTCCTGTGATTCCATGCATAACCTCCCTCCTTTGTCCTTGAGGGGGCCTACTCTTCTCCTTGCTACCCTCTTTCTTCAAAATATGCGTAAAAAGCCTTGGAATTCTCCTTGACCCTGTTTACTAAAGACATTTCATGGCCCTTTTTAGCCTTCCTAATTCTGTGTTTAAGTTCCTCCCTAACTTTTCTGTACACCTCAAGGGCTTTGTCAGTTTCTAGTTGTATATGCCTATCGTATGCTTCCTATTTCCCTTGTCATCGATAGTTCCTGAAACCTGCCATTCCTATCCTTCAGTTTTGCAGAGACATGTATGTCTTGCACTTTAATCAACTGGTCTTTTTAAAAACCTCCCACATGCCAGATGTAGATTTGCCTTCAAATAACTTTTCCCAATCCACATTCCCCAGTTCCTGTCTAATTTGGATGTAATTGGCCCTTGCCCAATGAAGCACCTTCACCTGAAGGCCACTCATGTCCTTGTTCGTGACTACTTGAAATCTTGTGGCGTTTGTGGTCACTAAGCCCAAAATGCTGTCTTACTGAAATGTCAATCACCTGTCCTGGCTCATTCCCTAATACCAAGACTAGTATGGCCTCCTCTCTGGTTGGATTGTCAACATTCTGTTTCAAAAAGCCCTGTTGGACACATCTAACAAATTGCTCTCCATTTGAGGACCTGGCTCTAAGGGAGTCCCAATCAATAAGAGGAAAGTTGAAATCATCCACCACAACTACCCTGCTTATTTCATACCTTTCCAGTATCTGACTACATATCTGCTCCTCTGTCTTCCATGGGCTGTTAAGAAGTCTATAGAAGTCTGTAAGAGGTCTATAAAGGACTCTTCTTTACAAGCCTTTTAGATCTCTGCTTTTGCAAAATCCTGGAATTCCCTCCTTTAGGGTCAGGACATAATATATTTTTCCAACATCTCCCTTTAAGAGCTTATTTTTATTTCAGGGAGCTAGTTTGATTTTCAGCAGTTATATCTTAACTGTTTTATTATTTCATGCATTCATATAGTAGCATTACCGTCTGCATTTGTGCCAACACATAGGTACTTGTACTTCCACAAAAACAGAATTAGAAGGGTTCGTCAATATCTTCCATTATCAGTCCTATTAAACATAAAGCCAAAACACAGCTTTAATTTCCTAGATAAGAGTATTTAATTTGGAGAAGAATAATAGGCATAAATTAGTGCCGGTCTTTTTCTCCCTAAAGTAACTGGCGTGTATACACACAAAAATCTCTATCACTCTAAATATAGCTTCTACAGAATGAAGTCACAGCTAGTATATTTGCATTATATGTTCATAAAGGTGAAATACCTTAACTTTTTTTGTACCACACTTCAGATCACAATCTCAGATTTAAAATGAACAATTTACACTGTTCATTTAGTGCACCTATTCCAGCTTTTTGCAGCACACCATATCTTCAAATTCACAGTCCACGTGCAATCTCTCTAAGAAAATCTGCCCCTTCAACCTCTGAGGGCAGAAATGCAGCTCTCCACCCCCACTTACGGTATCAGAAAAATGGCTGCTCCCAGTTGTGGCTCCCCACAGTAGCTTGGCAAATTGCTGGCTGGCATTCACACCTCGGCCTCCCTCCCCTGGAGCTCGACTCTGGCTCATTCGTGGATCTATTGAAATCCAAGCATGGTGGGTGCTGACCCAGGATTGGTGGAGTGACTCCTTACTGCTTCCTTCCATTCTGTTCGTGGCAGCAATTTTCCTCTGCTTGACCTCAAAAACAGTTAAGGACAATTTTAAGCAAGTCCTGCTGCCATCCACTGAATTTTGACTGTTGCTGTGAGTGTACATACACCATGTGACCTTCTAAATTCAAGGATGAAGCTGTGTGCTACCTTCTCGAAGACCAGTTAGAAATGTACAATGAATGCCAGTCTTGTCAACAACACTTATCCCATGAGTGTATAAATACAATGCATCAAGTGTCTGTCTTGAGTAGCTCTGTCCCCATCTTAGTGGGAGTCTCCCATGCAGCTACCCTCTAATTCTTTAATGATCTATCCTTGGCCCCCTCCTATTTCTTTACTGCATGTCACCCCTGTATGAAGTGAACTAAAGATGTGATGATGGGTAGAACCCCAAGCTGACAACTAACCAACTATATCTTGCTGCTATTTCTCTTGGCCTGCTATTTCTCTGTTAGCCACCTGTTTGACTGGTATCCACTGATTAGAGTAAGATGGTTACATTTCAAGTTTAAAACACTGGCTTAGACTCGATTGGAATGTTGCAGCCTTGGTTCTGGGCATCACATTTCATGGAAGATGTGAAGAGCGGAGAAATTGCGGAGATGTTCACAAAATGGAACCAGGGATGAGAAACTTGCAAACGTATGAAATAGGAGCAGGAATAGACCATTTGGCCCCTAAAGCCTGCTCTGTCAGTCAATAAGACCATAGTTGATCTGCTAGTTTCAAATTCCCCATTCTCATGTAGAGTAATGAAGATAGATTGGAGAAGTTGAGCAGGTTTCCTTGGAGAAAAGAAGCTGACTGGAGACTTGTTAATGGTAATCAGAATCAAAGGTCTAGGTAGAACAGAAGGCGAGAAACTGTTCCCACTTGTGAATGGATCAAGGTTCAGAAGGAATAAATTTTAAACTAATTAGTAAAATAAGCAAAAAAGACCTGACTGATGCACAAGTTTAGAATATGTGGTAGAGGTTTTCGCATCAGGTGCATTCTTCAGGGAATTAGACTGTTCTCTGAAAAGAGAACGAGCAGAGTTACAGGGAGAATTGACATAGACATAGAATCCCTACAGTGTGGAAACAGACCTTTCGGCCAACAAGTCCACACCGACCCTTGGATCATCCACCCAGACCCATCCCTGAACACTATGGGCAATTTAGCATGGTCAATCCACTGACCCTGCACATCTTTAGACTGTGGGAGGAAACCCACGCAGACACTGAGAGAATGTGCAAACTCCGCACAGACAGTCGCTTGAGGGTGGAATTGAACCCGGGTCCCTGGCGCTGTGAGGCAGCAGTGCTAACCACCTGAGCCACCGTGCCGCACCCCGTGAGGCAGCAGTGCTAACTACTGAGTCACCGTGACTAAATGATTTAGTGTTTTCGTAGGGCTGGTACAGACACAACAAATGGCATCTTTCACTGTTGTGACAATTGTGACATCCATTTCTGGATGGACTCATGTGCACACTGCATAATATTTGGAGGACTGAAGCCATTGTTTCTGGTTCATGCTAGAAATCTTGTCCCTTTTATCACTGATTGAACAGCCCCCTTAGCTACTGTCTGCCAAAATCAGACTGCTCACAAATCAACTATTTGGTTGACTGTCTGACCTTCTTGCATCACGTCCTTAAGGCCGCTGACTCACGAGGCAAGCTTTTTATACAGGAACCTTACCCCCTGGCTTGTGCTGTCACCACTCCCACTGCTTTTTCCCAGGGTGGAAATGACTATTACGAGGGGGTATAATTTTAAGGTGATTGGAGGAAGGTATGGGGAGATGTCAGAGGTAGGTTCTTTACAGAGTGTTGAGTGCATTCCACGCACTCGTCAGCAGTGGTAGTAGAGTCAGATACATTAGGGACATTTAAGCAACTCTTGGATAGGCACACGGATGATAGTAAAATGTAGGGTATGCAGGGTAGTTTGATCTTGGTGTAGGGTAAGAGGTTGGCACAACATCGTGGGCAGAAGGGCCTGTACTGTTCTATGTTTAATGTTCTTTTATGTCCTCCTTAATGCAAAAGTTGCTTACTTCCACTTCCTGACAACTCCCCTCTCCAGCCCTACCTGTGTGCCTAGTGCTGTTGAAAACAGATTTTATTAATCTCCGTATTGACAATTCCAATGCTTTCCTCGCTGGCCTCCCATCTTCCAGTCCCCATGAATTTGAGGCCATTCAGAACTCTGCCCATATCCTAACACACATTTATGTTATGCTCACCATCAAACCTGTGCTTAAACTACAGTAAATTCTAGTCCATCAAATTCTCCCCATCATGTTCAAATTCTTCCAGAGTCACATCCCTCCTGTTATCTAACTTCCTCTGGTATTAAACCTTTGGAATGTTAGCTTTTAACATTTTTCCCCATCTCATTTGAAAACTCAACAGAAGCAATATTTCAGTGATTGATCTACAAAACAAGCATCCCAGAACAATGAACAATGCTGTTAGCATTGCATCATTCAGATGCAATTTGCATTTACTTCTGAGATTAACATTTGCATACAATGTTGGGTTATTTGAAGTGTGCATGTAGGAACAGGTAAAAATACAGCTGTAGAAATTCCAGGACTTTCCTCACATCTGGTATGTTGTAAGCTTATTGGTAATAGCCTGATCCTTTCCTATCTTGGCATTTTCCTCAGTCCTGCAACCCTCTGAGATCTACATTCCTTTTGAGTACTGGTGGCCAAGCATCAGTTCTCAGGATCCTAACTTCAGAAATTCCCTTACGAAATCTCTCGACCTCTGTATCAACGTTTCCTTCTTTACGACACTCCTTCCAAAAAACCGATGTCTTTAAGCAAGCTTTTGGCCGGTTGCCGTAGTATCTTGTGGCTCAGTGGCATATTTTGTTTTATAATAGCTCTGTGAAGCACCTTGAGATATCAAAGGTACTGTAAATGGTTCTAGTTAGGCAGTCATTTAATTATCGTTGTATCGTGCAACTATCAGGATGGAGAGGGACAAGTAGAAGGATCTAGGAAATAAATAGTCATTTAATAGTACAAGAATCTAAGTAGTGCTGGAAAAGAATAGACATTTTTGTCTAAGCGTTTCTGTCTTGCACTCATCAGGATAATTTGCAAGAAATACTTATGTAAAGGGGAAGCTACCCCTTTTTTATACTGTATAAGAAATAATGGCTGATTAGTTAGCAAGTGGACTCTGGTAGAGATGATGAATGCAACTAATTAAATGAAGGCGGACTAACTATTAACTTAGCTCTGTTGACTGGATAAGACATTAACTGGAGAAATGAACCAGAGGTTGGCTGTCACCTGTTTTATTGAAACCAGCATAAGGTGTGTATTTCTGCAGAGAACAACATGCTGTGTATGAATATATATGGCCACTAGCAGGCTTGAATGTGCCACACTTTGAGCCCAATTGATGATATTAACTTGGTTAACAACATAATTCTTGGTATGCCCAGGATTATTTAGCAAATGTTGTTCAATCACATCTAAAGTTGAACATCGTTTTAAATTTGTAAACATTGCTGGTTGGCTGTGGTCAGTCCCTTGCATATTGCAGACAAATAAAGGGAAACGCTGTTCAGTATGATCTACCAGTCTTTGAAATGTACAGTCTATACATCTGGCATCATGTTGACACAGAAATTCATGAACAACATTATGCATTTATGTAACAGACAAAGCAGCCATTTGGCTCGATTTAATACATGGGGTTTTCTCTGCAGATAGAATGAACATGTGCACCCTTTTGGTTGGCAATTCATTTGAGTTAAAACAGATTTGATTGGCACACTCTTATCATACAGTATGAAAGGATTGTTTACCCTTTCCCTTAGTATTTTTTGTGAATTGCCCTGGCAAGTGCAAGTCAAATAGTCTTGACCAAATGTGTTTGTTTTTTCAGTAATCCCAGATATATTTTATCTAACAATTCCTTTCTTTCCACCATCATGGGTAGCTATTCCATCAGCTATCTAAATTTGAAGGACTGACATTCCATCCTTTAACCTCAACAACTATCCCCTCAAACTCTAATACTATACAGTACTTGAAATCTAACCTGTTTAATCAAATGTTCTCTGTGCGGAGACTTTGAAATATTACTACAATATTTGAAAAGCTATGGGAAATGATTTGTGGATAGTTGTTTGAATTTTTTGACTTGCCATAGTTGCACCTTTTTTGAATAATCCGAAAGAATACAGCTCTGAAATTTCTGTGATTTGTAGAATTCAATTTGACATTGAGTTGAGCAAATTTGGACAATTTTCTGAAATTGATGGATACATATTCCTTCAGTCTTGAAGTTGTACCATACTTATCCATGCCCACTGAGAACAGTTGTCTTTATTAATTAATTCCAAATATGGAGTCATTAGTAACTGGTACAATACTAGAAGACTCCAAACAAAGGTGTTTTTTTTTTTTTGGTACTTATTGAGCACTAACTTGTACATGAAATTAAGAACAAAAACAAAGTTGCTGGAAAAGCTCAGCAGGTCTGGCAGCATCTGTGAAGGAGAAGACAAAGTTAATGTTTTGGGTCCGGTGACCTGTCCTGAGGAAGGGTCACCAGACTCAACGTTAACCTGGTTTTTTCCCTTCACGGATGCTGCCAGACCTGCTGAGCTTTTCCAGCAACTTTTTGTTTTTGTTCCTGTTACAGCATCTGCAGTTCTTTCGGTTTCCATGAAAATAAATTAGTTAATAGGCAAAATTGCCTAGTGACCTGATATTGAAGGATTGGTCAAATTTGTTTCTTTTAGTCCCTACTGGTGATTTTGTTAGTAATAATTGGTCCATAAAATCACAGCACCAGTGCAGCAACCCCTCCCCCCAACCCCCCCAAAAAATATGTAGGTGACTGTTTTATCAAGTTGCTTTCATGTTTAACTTGGAAATCTGTATCGGTGCCACAAATACTTGTTTTGTGGGGTTTTTGCATTCATTGTCAACTTCAGTGTAATCTTGTCGAATTTGCTGAATCTGATCACCATAAGAGTCCTTTGTTAATCAACTGTTGATTGTAGGCCGCTGAATTAATTTGGAAAGTATAATCTGTGGTTGCCACAACCTGCAGCAAACCTGTATAGCAGGGCTGGAAGAACCAAGACCTTTAAAACTCAATGTTAAATCCTCTCTTGTAACTTTGGATTAATTGTGTAGCAACTTGTTCTACCACCGACCTATTCTGAAATTGTCTTGGGTTGAAACAATTAGTCATACCGCAGTGAGATGAGTTTAATTTCAAAAACAGAGTCTATAAAGCACAGGCTGTGTTCTTTTCCAACAGTGTAGGTCTGTTTTTATGGTGGTGCTAGTATTTTGAAATCTTGAAGGTGAAGCCATTCACCAACTCCTCTTTATGGTGCTGAATCCAGTCTCATCTCTTTGTCTGCACTTATCGTGACAAAATTTGAAATACAGTATTAGACAGTTAAGCATTTTCAAGGTCAGTGATTAACTTATTGGCTTGGCAAGTTCATTTGGTGAATGGTACAGTCTTGTGCCATAACTTAACAGACTCCAAGCACCTTGTTATTGTGTCCCAATCTTGTTGAAGCCTTTACATTCTTCTGTCAAAACAGAACTTTATAAAATTATTTAATTTCACTCTAATTTTATAGGTTATTGAAAGATGCACTACATGATCCATGTTTTGGAATGCGCTATGAACTTCTTTTAGGAGGCCTGCTATATGTATGTGGAAAAGGCTTGAGAGAGGAGTTTGAGAAACAGACCAGGCTGGTACGGAAACTGGGAGTGGTAGCAGAAAAAGTGCGCCAAGCTAATGGATCAACAAGGCAGGTATGGCATCCACTATCAACAATTTCCATATACTATGCATATCTCTAAAGTTGTGCTATGTGCACCAGAAGCCTAGATTTTTGCAGTCGTTAACTGTAAGACTACAGCATTAAAATAAGTTGTCTTTGTAGTTGCCCTGATCCATTTTTCTCTTCTTTGTCCTTGGAAGAATTGTTTAACCTTTCAAACAAGCCTGAACTTTATTTGAAGGTGACCATCCCAGGAACAGCTGGTCATTTAATCTCCAGTATACATGTATTAGCTTGCATATTGTAAGAACAAACATAATTGGTATGTCCTTTGCGAATGTGAAATATACCATTCCTCTGTCTTCCCTCATATGTTTTGATAAAATCTAAATTGCTGAGTATTTTTAGCTTTGCTAACAAATGGACAGATAACAACTTACCTTGTGTGACTACTGTGGTAATTTTTGAACAAATAGATTATTCTTTTGTTGAAGCCTTGCCAGAATGTTTGGTCATATGCTAGATGCTGGTACAAAATGATTTGAGCCAGTAAATGCTACGCTGCAGGAAAAACCATTGGCTTTTTTCCAACTAAATACTGTTTGAACTGCTGCTTATAGTTTTTGGGGAGGGGGGTGCAGTTGTGGAAATATCCTCTTTCCGAAAGCTGCTTGATTCCTTACATTTGGGCTGTAAAGTTGGTTCCTTTGCGCATGGAAACTACCCTTTTTTTTTAATCTGCTAATCCTTGTCTTGACTCGGTGTATACTCCCTCTAAACCACACCATTGAATTGTGTAGTGTTAAACTTAAGTGATAATCAGCAGCACTGATTTACTTGTAAAAGTACAAGTCCTTTGGATGTGTTTGTGAAATTGGGAAAACTTGCTTTATACTATAATTTCATTTTATTATTAAAATGAGGAAAGTATCAAGCTCAAACAAAGGCAGAAAACGCAGGAGACACTCAGCAGGTCTGGTAACGTCTATGGAGAGAGAAAGAGTTAACATTTTTGAGTTCAGTATGACTCTTCAGAACTGAAAAGGATTTGGAAAATAGTGTTTAAATGTTTTTTTTTGATCGGCAGAGGAGGAGTTTGGTAAAGAGATGCACTTGGCTTTCAAACCAAAAGACCAAAGGATTGCTAATCGGGGTGAAACAGAAATAAAGATGTAAAATTAGTGTAAATTAAGGTGTGGAAGGGTGAAAATGGGTCCTTTTGGCTGAGAGCAAAGTAAACAAGATACGAACAAGGCAAGGCCATGGAATGGTGGGAGAGAGAAGGGTGCACAAAAAATGAAGGATAGGCATCATGGGTTTAGGCTGTAAAGTTTAGAAATCAATATTGAGTCGAAGAGGCTGTAAAGTGTCAAAGTGGAAGAATGAGGTGTTGTTTCTGGAGTTTCACTGGAACATTGCCTCAGGGCAGAAATGCTCACATGAGAGCAAGATGGTTTATTGAAATGGCAAGCAATTGGAAGATCAGGGCCATTCCAATGGACAGAGCAGAGGTGTTCCACAAAGCATTTACAGAGTCTGTGTCTGGTCTTGCCAGTGTAAAAGAGAATACATTGTGAACAGCAAATACAGGATTAGCTTGAAAAAGAAGTACAAGTAAAATGCACCTTCAGCTGAAACAAGTATTTGAGGCCTCGGTCAATGAGGAGGTGAATGGACAAGTTTTTACACATTTGTAATTGCACAGGAAGGTGCAGTAGAGATTGAGGAAATGTTAGGAGTGGACCAGGATATCACCCAAGGGAATGGTTGTTGTAGAGTGCTGATAGTAAATGGGGAGGGAAGGTATTGTTGGTATGGCATCCTGCTGTAAATGGCAGAGATAGTAGAGGAGGATACTTTTAATGTGGAGACTGGTTAGATGGAAACTGAGGACAAGGGGCACCCTATCATTACTCTGGGAAGGAACGGAAGGGGTAAGGGCAAAAGTGGGAAATGTGTTGGAAGTGATCGAGGGTCTGGTCAACCACGGAGGGTGTTCTCATTTGTGTTTTGTTTACTTTGTTGTCAGCTGAGAGGACCCATTTTAACCCTTCCGCACCTTTTTTCATTTTTGCCAGTTTTACATCTCTCTTTCTCTTTTCTTTCTCCCCAACTCATAACTCTCCTTGCTTTTGCACTGGACCTCCACACCTTCTGTTCTCCTGGCTCCTCGTCTGCCTCAGTCAAAATTTTAAAAACGTCTTTTCAACCCCTTTCAGTTCTGAGGAAGAGTCATATTGAACTCAAAATATTAACTCTGTTTCTTTCTCCACAGATGCTGCCAGACCGACTGAGTTTCTGTTTCTTTCAGATTTCCAGCATTCACTGGATTTTGCTTTTATCAAAACATCTAGCAGGCAACTAGATGGGTATATGAATGAGAAGGGTTTAGAGGGATTTGGGCCAAATGCTGGCAAATGGGACTACATTTATTTAGGATATCTGGTCAGCATGATGAGTGAGTTGAACGAAAGGGTCTGTTTCTGTGCCGTATGACTCTGTCATGGAACTGTTGAACTGAACTAGTTTTCCTTTTCTCTCTTCTTGCTGTAAAACCTGAGAATACACAAAGCCAGTGATTGGTTTCATTCCAAACCCTGCAAGGATCTGAATTCAATCACCAGTAAATGCAACTTACTATTACTAATGCATGTTTTCTTCTTCAAAGATCGTCCTTCAGGAAGGAATGGATCGGGTCCAGTCATTCTTCAAAAATAAATGTCGCCTGCCCCTTAATCCTAGCCTGGTGGCAAAAGAATTGAATGTTAAGGTATGAGCGATCCAATGAGTTATCAAAACTGCCACACACTGCAATTTAAGCATGGTTTTAATTTCAACTTGTGGACTATCTATCATTTTTGTAGCTACATGGCAGCATCTGGAATTTGTAGTTTTTTTAAGCCTCCATGACATTCTTCAGTATTTAATCATTTGATTGCAATATATTTGCTTTTGATCTAAGATCTTATCAGAATTGGAAGGTGTCGAATTGCTTCCAGCATTTAATTGGCATTTCAATTTTATTTACGTGTGATTCTTAAGTAAATAATATTTCTAAGTGGTGTATTTATTCATTTAAAATTAATACGGTAGTTTTTGCTGAAAATGCAAAAAACATTTTGAAATTGTAAGGAAGAAAAATTCTGCAATTGTCAAATGTTTAAAAATCTTTTCTGTTTTAAATGAGTTCAGTGAGAGAATCAACGGTTCCTTGACCGATATCTTATCAAGTCAACTTCAGTTAATAATCTTACACTTGAGCCAAACCTAGGAATATGTCCTACTGTGATATGCATTTACTGTGCATATGCATGTGTAGTGTTTGGTAGTCATTTGATAGACACTTTTTTACTAGTAGATGTTTAGCGTTGTTACACATTGTACGCTGCAATACACAAATCAAATTGAATATGATTCACTGTTGGAAAGTGTTTAGTGCTATTTCTCAACCCCTTTTGTTATACTGCAACCCAGCTTGTGTCTTTAGCCTAACCTGCCACCAATGTATCTGAAAGGAAGAGAACTTTTCCCAGCAAGCTACTTGGCTTAGTTGACAACAATCTGGAGTCAATAAATTGATCTCAATCTCTGTTATAAGAAAGAACACTTACATGCTGCCTTTTGAGTCCTTTTAATTCATGTGACATTAGCTTTATGTTCTGGAGAGTCTCCCTCTAAAGTTTTTGATTATTAATATGACTTTCCCTCTTTTTTTATTGTCTGTCCTTCATGTATAGGCTTGTTCCTTCTTCAGTTCCAATGCAGTTCCACTAAAGGTAACGCTGGTGAATGCTGACCCCCTGGGAGATGAAATCAATATTATGTTTAAGGTATGCCAATATAAAGATTGGGGTACAATTGTACAGAAATTTTGGGGAGGGAGAAAACAAGAAGTTGGGGGATTATGGATGGAATTGCAAATCAGTTAATACAATGTGCCAACTGTATTTCTGTTGCTTCACCTTTCACTCACCTAAATATTAGTTGCAGTTGCCAACCACTTAAAATTTGGAAGTGAGAATGATTCAAGAGCAGTGGTGCTAGATGCCTATTTCTTTGCAGCTGGTCATAGTCGTAGAGTCAAACAGCATGGAAACGGATCCTTCAGTCCAATGTGTCCATGCTGACCAGGTTTCCCAAACTAAACTAGCCCCACTTGCCTGCATTTGACCTATATCACTAAACCTTTCCTATCTACGTACCTGTCCAAATGTCTTTTAAATGTTGTAACAGTACCTGCATCTACCACTTGCACTGGTAGTTCATTCCACATACGAACCATCCTCTGTGAAAAAGTTGGCCCTTACATCCCTTTTTAAATCTTTCTCTTCTCACCTTAAACCTATGCCCTTTAGTTTTGCACTCCCCTACCCTAGGGAAAAGACCTTTGTTATTCACCTTATTTATGCCTCTCATGATTTTATAAATTTGTATGAGGTCAGCCCTCAACCTCCTGAATGCCAGTGGGGA